TTTATGGAAGTGATGAAATGCGTCTGTTGTCTGAATATGACTCTTGGATGAATGGAAAAATCCACACAGGATTATAAAAATGCTTGTTTTCAACTCGCTTGTGGAGATTATCAGAGGTCACAAAGTAAAGAAAGGAAAAATATACGAAAACAACAAGAAGAGATGAGGAAAACAACAAAGAAGGAATGGATAGAATTATGAACATTATTTGGACAGAATTGTGAACATCAAAGCAGCAGCAATAAGATGACCGGATCCCTTTCGGAGCTCGAAACATGGGTACCCCCAACAAAAATTTAAAATTTGGCTCTGTAATTTGGAATTAATGTGATTTGATTGGTTTGTTAATAAAATTTTTTTTTTAAAAAAAAAAAAAAGGAAGGCAAGGGTGTGTGTGAGAGAGATGTCAAATTTTGGCATCGCACAGGACACCACTGAAATTTGTGATCCCAAGGTCTACCACTGCCCTGAAACAGATTAGGAGCTTGTTAAGTTTATGGAAGGAGTGCCTTGCACTGAAAACATGCAGGAAAGGCAGAAATGTTATGCCTTTAATAGCAAGCAAAAATCAACAGTTGAAAGTTTTCCCTGGCAGGGATGGTTGCAAATTGTGGTTGAGGAGTGCCAGGCAGCCAAAGTGAGCTGCTAGTGAAGTTCACAGGAAGAAGTGAGGAGTAGGAAAATACAGTTCCCAGTAACAGAAAGCAAGAAAGGAATGTGGACACTCATGTAGAGGACAAAAAAGATCTAATTCACTCATGAAGTGAGAAAATGTCAAACTGAAGGTGCCCATCTCAAGGATGCCTATGAGGACCTACATACAGCAACAGTGTTTTGTGTTGTGTCGGCTCCTATTTGTTATGTGCAAATGGCTTTAGATACCTATTAGGTCCATCAATTACCATATAGCATATATTCAAGAAAAAAACAGTGACAATTAGTTGTTGACAGCTGGACATATAAAGGGCCCCATTACCTTCAGTAGCTGAGGGCCTCATCAAACCTCAATCTGGCCCTGATCACAGCCGTGCAGTGTCCAGGGCTGCAGCAACTTTCCATGCAGAATGTGGTTTGTTCCCCCAACTCCACCCATCATATAATTTTTGGAGAAAAAGAACACAAATGCTATGCAGATAAGCAGTCTGTTGGCAAATGGCCTTTGGGAGGGTTGCTACTGAGATGTCTTCTGTGGCTTTGAGAATGCAGAAGTAGGGACAGAAAGTGCCATGACGTCCTCCTGACTCAGTCTTTTGCCACATCAGCCTGCAGTTCTTTATATCTTCTGAGTGTTTTATGTCTTGGGTTCAGTCTTGCCAAGATGCAGTATAGATACGTTGGCTTTGACAAACCCCAGGCGGAATCACTTTCACTTTTATCCCACAAGGTGATGTGATCATTGCACAGTGAAGTGCAAAAATGCTTGTAAAAGTCCGCTAAAATAACACCCTGGCCCTACAGTGACATTCATGTTTTAAATAAGTGTTGAAAGTTCAAAACCGGTTTGGAAAGAGAGTGAGAGAGGGCTGCTTGGGGACTCCTGCAGTCCTGCCATCACACCATGAAGGCCCTAGAGCTGGTATTAATATAGAAGTAAGCATTTTCAAAATAATGCAAAATTCTGACCATGATGGCTACACAGGTAGATGTGAAATAATGGACATAGGTGTGAAGTCTCATGTGTTTCAATGTTCTTTGCTTTTCACACATAATTTCTGGTACTTGTCCTTGGTAAATCAGTTCCTATTTTGACTTTTGGGGAGATAGGGAGATGCCCTCAAAGACAGGCTGAAGATGGGCACCCCAGCTCCCACAAAAAGGGAAAGGAGGTTGAAGGAGGTTTAAAGGGTAGGTTGATGTGTATGTTCTTGGTGTGTATGTTCATTTTGCATTTGCCTCTGTCAAATAGGCCTTGCAGGTTTTTATATTGTTTCAAAACCCTGCAAAACCTGTTTGATCAGAGGTGACTGTGGCACACACAGAAAAGGTTTTTGTATACCAGAGGCAGGCAGAAAGTTTTCTTCTTTGGCTATCACTTGTAGCTGAGTAAGATTGTCTTCCATGAACATGGTCTTAACAGAGTTTTTATAACAGTATTCTTGTTTATAAAACCCAATTAAAAAACAAACAAACAGTGAGTCTGTGAGTGATTGTGGAGGCCAATTCTGGTTCCACATGTCCTTCCACAGTGGGGACATAGGTTTCCAGGTGGGAGTAGATCATGATGAGGATTTGCCAAACATGCCTTCCTCTTAGCACGTTTCTCCCTTTCGTCCTCAGTTCAAGGATCTTCAATGTCCATTACACCTTTGGTAAAGGCTGTTCTCCAGTTGGAGTGTTGGCAAGCCAGTGTTTCCCAATTGTCGGCTGTGGTCCACAGATGGACTCCATATTGCTTACTATTTGCTGCCAAAGAATGCTAGACTAGGAGGATCTTGGGTTGATTCTTGGTCTGCACATATACAGAAACATAATAAAACATCAGACATTAAAAGCTTCTCTATATAGGGCTGCCTTCAGATGTCTTCTAAAGGTTGTGAGGTTACTTATCTCCTTAACATCAGAAGGGAGGGTGCCACTACTGAGAAGGCCCTCTGCCTTTAACCTCACTTCTTGCAGTGAGGGAACCACCAGAAGGCCCTTGGAGCTGGACCTCAGAGATGGGAGTGGAAGCTCCTTCAGGTATGCAGGACTTTAAAGGTGAGCACTTACACTTTGACTTGTGCTTGGAAATTTACTGGGAGCCACTCTCCTGCCCCGGCCCTGCTACCACAGTAAAGTCTACCTCCTTCCAAATCTGAGTTATTTAATCTGCAAAAAACTTCGCAAAGTCATTTCAGGAGATCTTGGGAGTCCTCACCAGAACCCAGTGGTGAAAAGGATCTGTTAGATTCCAGACTGCCTGAAAGAGTCTCCTGGTACTGTTTTCTGCAGATGCAATAGAGGCAGTGAAGAAGGTCCTCTTTGCCGTTGCTATTGCCACTTGGTAGGCTCGACGTTGAGCTCTAACTTGTGTCCGGTCCGATTCAGAATGAGTTTTCTGCCACCGGCACACTAGCTGTCTCAGTGATTGTTTCATCGGCCTCAGCCCTGGAGAAAACCATGGGGCTGTCTGGGCTCCATGCAATCAGAGAGGGTGCTTTGGAGCCAGGCAGTCAATAGCCTTGGTTAACTCTACATTCCAGGGGGCCACCAGGGAATCAGCTGAAAGGCCATCAACATGGGATAAGAGCCATAAAGTGTCAGGGGTGGACCATTCAAATTAGTACCTCGTAGAATTGTTCATTAATTTTAAAATGCTAAATCCTGTACTAATACTAGCCCTTTTTATGTTCTGAAGCAAAAGTGCATATTCAGAATAGCTTCGGATTGGTTATGCTTTAAACAGTAAAAGAGCCTGAGTTGGCACTCTTCCTTTGCAAAGTGAAAACACAGAAATGAGCCCTGGGGATTCTATTATAAAGACCACCCAAAGTGAAGCTGACCCATCCCTGGTTTAACACTATGACAGCAGTCCTTCAACAGTTCCAGACCCAGAGCCCTAACCCTCACCCAAACAAGCATTTAGGGACCCACTTCATTTGCTTCCTTTGTACCTGAACAGTGGAACTGCTTTTTGCAACTCCATATATTGTCAAGCCTTAGCTCCCATCAGCCCTAAATGGGGGTGGGGGCATAGATGCACCACTCCTGCGGTACAGAGTCCCATCCTGACATGGGCATAGCCCGTATTTTTATTAGGGGGGCATGACTTTTGTTAGGGGGGCAGAACTGACATGACTGGTCAGTTAGTTAAGTATTTCTCTTGTTTTCCTTGATTGGGGGGGCAGCTACCCCCCATTCCCCCTTGCCCATGCATCCTGACCCAGCAGTTGAAGTCCAGTGATGTCTCTCACAAATTGTTTTCAGCTCTCTCTTAAAGTCCACAGTTTATCTCCCATTTTACTTGATTGAGCTAGTACAGTTTAGTAAAAAGGTAAAGGTACCCCTGCCCGTACGGGCCAGTCTTGACAGACTCTAGGGTTGTGCGCTCATCTCACTCTAGAGGCCGGGAGCCAGCGCTGTCCGCAGACACTTACGGGTCACCTGGCCAGCGTGACAAGCTGCATCTGGCGAGCCAGCGCAGCACACGGAACGCCGTTTACCTTCCCGCTGGTAAGCGGTCCCTATTTATCTACTTGCACCCGGGGGTGCTTTCGAACTGCTAGGTTGGCAGGCGCTGGGACCGAGCGACGGGAGCGCACCCCGCCGCGGGGATTCGAACCGCCGACCTTTCGATCGGCAAGTCCTAGGCGCTGAGGCTTTAACCCACAGTTTAGTATAGCTGCTAAGAACATAAAATCAGAAGGCCCTCATTCAAATCTTACCTTAGTTACAGACATCATAGGTGGTTTTAAGCAAGCCAGTATTTTCTTAGCTTTAGCTGTCACATGGGGTGAGCAGGACTAGTCCACTTTGCAGAGCTGCTCTAAGGAACCCTGCAAACATGTGCCATGAATGCCGATGGCTTATGGTGTCCAGGATCCAGGGGGGTCTAAGCAGTTTCAGAAAATTTATGCATTTCATTATTTATGTTTGGATTTTTACTTTCTCTTGCTGCAATTACTGCATAGTTGTTGCCTTACAGAGCAAACACATTTATTTATTTATTCATTCATTCATTCATTCATTTGTATACTGCTTTTCTGGCAGACGTCACAAAGTGCTTTACATGAAGTTATTACAGCAATATGCAGCGACTGAAACATAAGCTAACAAAACAATGGAATATTTTTTTTTAAGGAACAGCAGCTGCAACTGCTGCCTCTCCACTCCCCATGGGATCTGGGGTTCTTCAGAGGCCCCCCTGGCGGCAGTTGCCCAAGGGAGGGGCCGCTGACGTGAGCTGGGCAGTGGCCAGCCAGGAGACCCTTTCCTTCCCCTCCCCTGGGGGGGGGGGGTAGCCTTTTTTTACCTCATCCCCACCAGCCATATTTCTGTCAGGAGATCCTCAAGACACTGAACACAGGTTCAGAGATGGCAAAGCACATGCAATGCATTATATTACAATGCTTATTTTATTTCCCCCCGGAGTAGAAAGTGAGGTTTGTTAATCTCGGAAAACCTCAAAGCCAAGAGGCCTTGTGCAGCTGCAGATAGCAAAGCCAGTAGGATTGCCACAGGGCCCTCTTTCTTGCAAGCTGAAGAAAAGTATGCAAATCAAAGGGACAAACAAGTTTCCTCACACGGAAATGCTTGTCGGCAGGAAGCAGCAAATTTTGAGCGGCTGCGGGCTCTGGCAGACCAGCAAGGCTCTGCAAAGTATGCAGAACCCATGGGGCCATCTCCCAGAGCCTGTGGCTTTTGAGTCGTCCGGGGACTTGGGCTGGGATTCACCCCTGCGTTTCCTGCTGAGGACTTGACCATGGCGGACCCTGAACCCGCTGGTAGGTGAAGCAATCTTCTGATCTATTTCAGCAAAAAGGATGAAGCTCATTCTTAGTGCACTGTCAGGAGGCAGGTCCTGGGGCTTCTAATCTGGGGCTGCACTGAAGGTGTGGTTGTGCACTTGCTGGAAAATTCTCACTGTTATTTGGGGCCGGATCTCTGAGAGTAAAGCTGGAGTGGATGAGACCAGCAGTTTATTCAGGGCCAGGGGATCAACGATTTTGTTCGGAACCGAAGACAGCACAAAAGAGACCATGTGTATATACACACTCTGGCAGCTGCCCTCTGCAGTTAACAGTTCCCTCCACCCCAAATGTGGGGAGTAACAGCCTGCAAAACCTGTTTGACCAGAGACAACCATGAGGCAAAAGGGACAAAGAGGTACTGCAATGGGCAACACCACCTCTGCTGTGCAAATACAGCCCCTGTGGGTCTCTACCCAAGGTCAGTATGCAGTTCTTGGTTGTGGCTGGTGCAAAAAAGAGGAAACTAAATTAAACTAGGCAGATTGAGTATAGCAGTGTTCATTTCAGAAGTACTTAGAAAGCAGGAGCAGTTATTAATTGCTTCAGAAACCATTATTATATTCTTATTGTATTCTCAGTTGGGAAGAGGGCTCAAAAGGTAGTTGGTGTTATATATTTGTATATATTATATATTTGTTACTTGAAAACTTATTTTAAAAGGCTGACCCTTAAGTTATATCTCTGAAACTGAAGGCATGTGCACACAGCACTAGGTACACTAATTGGAACCCTAATCCTGAAACTTAAAAAAGCAACTTTTAAAACTAATGCTTTTAAAGTTTTGTAGCAGAAATGTCAGATTTGAAATTCTATATGTACACACACACGTGAAATTTTAGAAAACTTTCCTCCCCATATTTGTTTCAGCTGTTGCACTAGATGTTTGAGTGGAAATTATTCAGGCCATCTGAGGAGCCCTTGCAGGATGGTCCATCTCCTGCCAGCCATGCTCAGGGCTGTGATCAGCACAGATTTCCATTTCCTGGCTGTTTTTGCCTAACTGCCCTTCTGTACGTACACACCTACACATTGGACACAAAATCACAGAGCATCTTAGAGCTGGGAAGGATATAGAGGTCAGGTGACCTGACTCCCTGACTTGGTCTCACATGCACCATATTCATCTTCCAGCAATCCTCAGATACAGGAACCTTACCCCATAGATCACAGTGTTGTGTTACAAGCAGAGCCCAGGGCTAATAGTTTCTAAACCCCAGAGTCTGCTACAATAGTCATAAGAAGAGCTGGCTGCATTAGGCCAGTGGCCAGTCAAGGCCCGCCTCCAGTGGCCAACCAGATGCCTATGGGAAGCCCGTCAGCAGGAGCTGAGCAGGAGCAGCCCTCTCTCCCTCTTAGCTGTTTCCAGCAACCTGCGCTCAGAGGCCTCTTACCTCCCACAGGGGAGGGAGAACACAGCCACCCAGGTTAGGAGTTACTGAAACACATTATCTCAGTGAATTTCCCTAATCCTTTGTAAAAGCCGCCATTGCCTCTTTTGGAAGGGAATTACACAGTCTCACAGAGAAAAGCCACAAGGCATTTTCAAGACTGGATGGGTGTGGTTCTCCTAAGCACTCTTAGGGGTTCATGTTCCTATGTGCCTCTGATTCACTGTTTCAGCTTGCGCTACAGCCCCCATGTATGACCTAAGTGAATGGTTCATATCCCATATCAGGCCTCTATTTCATTCTGTCGGACAGTGAGGACAAGGCTCTGTAGGCACTGGCTCTCTTTTTCCATGGTGGATGTTTTTACAGCTCATTTGTGCTCAGCAAGAAGGCAGAAGTTCCACTTCCCTTTGTGCTCCTCTTACCTCATTTCACAGAAAGTGTCAAATAGTAAAACAAAAAACAAAAAAACAACTCAGCATCTTTCCCTGCCTCAATTAGAACATTATTTCCGGTCCTGGGCCTGGCACACACAGAATAGATGTCGACACTGCTTAACAAGCAAGCATTTGGAGAACAGTGGGAGGATCTGTTCCCCATGTATACAAAATTCCCACACCGGACAAGACATGTACATGCAAAGGAATGTGGGAATCCATGCGTTTCTGCATTAATTTCTGGGCAGAAGTTAGAGGCACCATTTAAGAATGAGAGGGGTATGTTTCAGGATCCTGTCCGGCCAGTTCTGCAGTTCTACACACTGATTTACAAAGTTACCAGGTTTCATAAAAACAAGATATTGAGGAAGGAATTCAGCGTTGCACTAAGGCCATTATTCCATTAGGACAAGCATCTGGGCTTGACAGATGGAACAATTCCCCCCTCTCCTCCTCCAGTGCACTTTTTGGGGTTCTCCCAACCCCTTCAGAGCCAATTTCATGGTTCAAGGGGAGGAGCAGGAAGGCCACTGTACATGCAAGAGCCAATTCCGTGGCTGCGCCTCATTAATTAAATCCCACCCTAAGATTAATGGGGCAGAGCCTTAGAAATAAGGGGTGGGCCTTGGTAGCGTAGGGACAGAACCTGGTCACAGACCACAGATTTTGCCTGGGAGCATTGGGAACAGAGCCTAACTGTGTCCAGTAGTTTCTGGGAAAAGCCTCATGGCCACAAGTGGCTCTAATAGCAAAAATACTCAAGCCAAACAGAAAATAGCCTATCCACTGGTTTCTGTCTTCATGCTATAGGCACTTCCGGACAGTAACTGTTTTCAGGTGAAATTCTGTCACAGAATTCAAGTTGTGCAATTAATGTTGGCTTAGAGGTCTCAAACAACAAAGTTGCTTCTGCAAAAGATCAGACTTTTATAATAAGGAAAATGCACGGGAAAGTGTTGGATGACACTTGCTTTGACACAACATCATTTAACTTCCCTGCAAATAATCTGGAATTAATGCTCAGTCAACAGCCATTGTTATCTAAGTTCTCTACAAACAAATCAGGGTGAATGTTCAACACAGAGATTGTCTGGAACCACCACTATTTTCTCACTCGGAGAGCTAAACTTCATCCCCTGGAGATCTTGAGATGAGTTGTTAGACTTTGGCACCTGGAGACTTATGAGTGACTAGAATTATAAGCAATTAAATGAGCCTGTGTAGTAGTCACCAGGTATGCCCAAGGTATTCGTGTTTGCTTTAGGAAAAGGGCAACTTCTTGACTCTTGCTAGTAACACTGCTGTAGTAATTACAGATTGTAAAAAAGTGAAACTCCCCAGGAAAATATGCCAGGCCTACTCCACTATGATATATAGGTGATCATAGGATGTTTTTATTCCACCAGGCATTCAGCAAACTGATTTCACATGAGATAAGTTGTTGCTATGGTATTGTGTATTTTTACTTTATGCAGTGCTGTTCTGCAGACAAGTAAGGTGTACAAAAATGTATATTCTGGGGTAAAGTGTGCATATAAATGCATTGTTTGTTGTTTAGTCATTTAGTCATGTCTGACTCTTCATGACCCCATGGACCAGAGCACGCCAGGCACTTCTGTCTTCCACTGCCTCCCGCAGTTTGGTCAAACTCATGCTGGTCGCTTTGAGAACACTATCACACCATCTCGTCCTCTGTCGTCCCCTTCTCCTTGTGCCCTCAATCTTTCCCAACATCCGGGTCTTTTCCAGGGAGTCTTCTCTTCTCATGAGGTGGCCAAAGTATTGGAGCCTCAGCTTCAGGATCTGTCCTTCCAGTGAGCCCTCAGGGCTGATTTCCTGCAGAATGGATAGGTTTGATCTTCTTGCAGACCATGGGACTCTCAAGAGTCTCCTCCAGCACCATAATTCAAAAGCATCAATTCTTTGGCGATCAGCCTTCTTTATGGTCCAGCTCTCACTTCCATACATCACTACTGGGAAAACCATAGCTTTAACTATACAGGATATAAATGCATATATTAGTGAAAATAGCATGTAATGCAATATATAAGGAGAAACTATGTTGCAAAAAATGTGTATATTAGGAAATAGCACTAAAATGTAATTAATCTTCATGAGGGACTTGTTTTTTTTATAAGAAAATTGCAAATGTGGAATGTGAAGAACCGAACTAAGACAGAAAAAATGAGAAATGAACTAGAATTGACAGATTTGTCCATCCCTAGATACGGGCAAGGCACGCTTATTATATTTATATAATAAGACATTTAGGCTAAATTTTAGGAAGAGTTCTTGAGTTATAGAGTTCCTTAATATTAAGATAGATATCAGTGTTATAAAATACATTCATGACTGTGCATATTCTAGGCTTCTGAACACATATTGTACAGATGTAAAAATTGGTATTAAGTACAATATTCTGCATACTGTCTGTTCAGCTTCCATTTTAAAAAACCAAGTGGTTGCAAAAATAGTCTTGAACGTGTGAGCACTACCAGGTGAAATTGTCAGTGTGTGTTTTGGGAAAGATTTCCAGTGCTGAGTGAACAGAGTTTCAGTGCCCTGCAAAGATTTCTGTGGACAAAGCAAAATAAATTAGGCAAATACATGCAATTTTTATAAGAGCTGTTGATTTCAACTTGACACAGATTTTTTAAAATAAACTTGGTACATGCCAACTTAAAGCACAGAGTACATATAGCCCTGCATAGCCTGACAGTGCAAAGTTTGGTCTTCCTACAACTTTTATATGATTCAGTGTCTACTACTCAGAGAGATGGTTATATCAGTCAAATGGCACATGTCAAATATTGATATAAAGCAAATCCAACCATGGGTGTCTTTGGGATCTCTCCTTAGTAGACTTGCTTTGACTTCCACGAAGGGAGGAATATCAAAATTAAATATGAGGGGGTGGGGGGAGAAGCTGTAGAAGTCTTGTGGAGTGTGGACCCTGTAAGAAGGGCACACATTGGTTTCACTCTTCTAGCAGACAGTGTGGTCCTTGTAAGCACTGATGTGGTCGGTTTCACAGCACTCTAATGGCTCGTTGACAGTACTGGCTATAGTGACTCTCTGGCAGGCAAGCTTAGGGCTCATCCACACGTCTTTTTGTGGCATGGTTCTAAGCACAGGTCTGGGCAGTATTGTTATTGGATTTGGGGTTTTCTGGGATCAGTGTTTTCCCCAGGAAAACCCTCATTTTACCATTGAATCAGAACAAATGGCAATCAGGTTTTCTGCACATTACTGTTTGCTCTGATTTAGCAAAAAAATGCAGGTTTTCCCAGGGAAAGCGCTGGGACAACCCCCCCCCCCCTTCAGACCTGGACCTGGAAAGCCCAGACCTGTGCCTAGAAAGCATGAAGCCAAGGTAAGTGTGAACCAGCCTATAGCTACTCCCTGTGTTTTGGACGGGAAGTGCTATAAGACATGGACTCTCACTGGACAGTGCTGAAGTCATCACCCCCAGGCACGTCCATCACAAATCCCTACTCTACTTTAGCTGTGCCCATGAGCATAGTCAAACGCACAGGGGGCAGCTGCCCCTCCAATCAAGTAAGTAAATAAAAATACTTAACTAACTGACCAATCACGTCTCCAATAGCTTGGATCTGCAGAAATCCTGGCTGCACCCATGACTGTGCCCTTCATTTCAGCCACTGTCTGAAATGTGGCAGGCAATTACTAGGTCCAGGGCCTTCTCCGTAGTGGCATCCTCCTTCTGGAGACTCTACCCAGAGAGAATCACCTGGAGAGCTGGCATTTTATTGCTGTCACTGCACTGTGAGAGGGTTAAAGACTAATTTTAGCATAACTGTTTTTAGTGGAATTGTGCCTATTTTATGTATCCCAGACAGCTGGTTTGCTATATTCTATGGTCTTGTTACATTGCTCCATTTTCTAGGGTCCTCTTCTGATGGGGGTTCTGTATGAATTGTTTTTCTTTTAAATGGATTGCAAGCCACTTGGAGAACCCATTAAACTAGGAATGTAGGATACACCTATTAGAACAAACAGTCTGTACCTCCCAGTCCATCTAGTCAAGCCATTTTGAATGCCCAAAATTTGCACACACAGATATTTGGATGTTGGGAGGAGGTTACACTGTTCTGCTACAAGAGTTCAAGCAGATGTCTCCAGAAATGAAAACCAAGGGTCACTTCCCGGACTATCCTTAGCAACCAATCTTCCCCATTAACCATCACGTCCCCCAGCACTAGCAAGGTGAACCCCACACTCCACTTCGTTATGCAGAGCTAGGATTATTGCTGCAGATGTACAGAGCCGGCTACAGCATTGCATATCATGCCCCAAAGGGCAAAAGTTAACTTCCTAGGCGTGCCTTCACGTTGACAACAGTATCAACAGCACAGAGGGGTTTGTGCTGTTTGGAGACACCGAGAATTCTCAGATTGCAGAGATGGTTGGATTCTGCTGCACTTAGCATGCATGCTGTCCACAAAGACAGGCCAGCAAAGCCTCTTCCTCCAACCCGTGCAATTTCTGTGGTCGGCCAAGGTGTGTCAGCCAATACTGTCAGGACGAAACTAAACTCAAGTCTTTGTCTTTTCCCTATTGGCTGCCTTCCCATTAAAATTCACCTGGGCAATCTGCGTAGTTCAGTAGTGAGGCAAGCAAGAAGGTGCAAGACCCAGCTGAGTTAAAATGATTTGGAGCAACATTGCTGGCTCTTTTCGTTTTCATTTGTGCCTGACAAACAAGCCTTTCCTCCCATCGCTTGCTGCTTAGTGAAGCAACCCACTGAGTTTAAGGCAACCACATCCTGTTTCTGGAGGAGGGGGAAGGAGAGCAGAGAGATTTTGCTCTGTTTATGGTATGAAGAAGCACACGCCTTGTTTTAAAGGTTTGGCAAAGGGTTTTGACCCAGAGTTAGGCCATCTTTACACATGCTGCATCCTGATATCCAGGTTTATTATGAGCATATAGGGTGTTTTCTTTTTAAATTGTTGCTTGGTGGTTTCCACGGGGAAGCATTCTAAAATGGCCTCTTCCCCTGGCAGTCTGAAGTGCTCAAGTCTAGATTCCACCACTTCAAGTCCCCCACCTGAGTCTTCTGCACAAGCAGTCAGGCCAGGCCATGTGTTTGTTTCAGGAAACAGAATTGGACGTTAGTGAGACTCTAGGGAGAAGCCTAGGGGGGGGGGCACAGGTTTGTGCCGCCAATGCATGCTCCTCTCTGCTTGCTGCTTCACCCTTGGCACACCCCATCATTATGATGAGGCGGCTGGTGCACTGTGCCCACGGGGGCGCAAGGGGGAACAGACGCCCAGCAGTGTCCTGAGGAGTTTGGCAGCCCCTTTTCCCGCCTTCCCTGTGTTGCTCAGCACATCCGCTGTGCCCCACAGGCCATGAGGAGGCTTCTGGAGTGTGGTGCTGCAGCCATGGGTGAGGGCTGTGGGGCCAATAAGGGCCCTGAGGGACCCCCAGCGTGCCTGGTCTGCTGCTGCACCATGACTGGATACACTTGTCTTTCAGTGACTTTGTGGTAAAGCCAGGGCTGGCCCACCCATGAGGCAAGGTGAGGCAACCAGCTCAGGCGGCAGGATCCACGGGGGCAGCAGATCCTGATGTTGATCTTTCTTTCCCCCTGGTTCCTGATATTCCCTCACCCCTTCTTCCTTGTTGGGGAGGGCATTCGCCCAGGTGCCAAAATGTCTTGGGGTGGCCCTGATAAAGCCTCTCACAGGGATTGGCTGGGCAGCACTGATGTCATAATGTGGTTGGGTTGCACCAATGATGGCTGCAACCCTACTGAACTATTTTTGCCCTCTTCTGTCCAATTTTAAATAGCACCTTTGAGCAGGAAAGGAGGCGGCAACAGACCAAAATTAGTAGGAAAGTAAAGCAAGTTTTTCCCTAGAAGAATAAGCAGAAAAAGGAAAGGTCGGAAGAGAGTTTATAGTACTACAAACCAATATAGACTTTAGGCCAGCTGAACAGTTATGGATAAGAATCTTGGGTATTGTAACCTTGAGTGAAATGCTGAGAATCCTCAGCCACCCATCAAAGAGTTCCCCCAGAAGTAGGATTGCCATATTTAAAAAAGTAAAAACCATGACACACTGAAAGTTGTTGGGCTTTTTTTTTTTTAAAAAAGTAAAAGCTACAAGAAAATTTGAGGTTTTGGAGCTTTTAAAGGCAATTTTGGCACAATTTAACCCCCGTTGCAAGTGGAGAGCCAAGGGGTGAAATTCTGCAGAGCAGCAATGGTCCATCAGTGCAAGTATTTCTCCTTGTGCTACATAATGTCCTGCCCCTCTTCTCACCACTGTGTGCCTCCCAAAACTGGAATTCTCTCAACCCTTTGAAGCAGAGTTGGTGATGGCATGGGGCATGCGTGGAGAACACATTTAATGTTCTGGCTTAAGCAGGTTTCCATTGTGAATATCCTAGCAGGAATCCAGCTGAAAATAGTGCAGAGTAATGCAATGCACTTTATTCCATGCTACCCTGATACCAACCAATCAGCTACTGGTGCCTGTCATGTCACTTCCCAAGCAGCCCCTGATTCCAATGGCCATGGGTAGGACTGCCTCTCTTTGGCATCAGAAGCTCTGGTACCAGCAGGGAGCACATCCTTGCTTCCTTCCAGTGGTGGCCAGACCACTTACCAGGAAGGAGAGGAGCAAGGTGTCAGGGAGATTGGCATATTGTGGGCACATGGGAGGGAGTGCCAAGTTGAGCCTGCCCATTTGCCTGCACCAAGCCGGCTTCCCTCCCACCTTGTCCTCTCCCTCTCAGAAAGCAGCAGTGGCACTGCAACCTGAAAGCTGGCAGTGCAGCTTCCCTCCACAGGCAAGTTGTTCCTGCCCCCTGAATTTTGTCAAGTCTAGAAGTGGAGCTCAGTGATTTTTGCTGAGTCCCAGCTGTCTATCAATCTCACCAGGACCGTTATAAAAATAGTGGAGCACTGGCTGGGGAAATATCATCCTTGCCCCCGTTTTTCTGGCAACTGGTGTGAAATAGGTAAATAAAAAATAAGGTCAGTTTTCTTGGGTGGATCCTGTTTAACAGGACTCCTGGAATTAGTCTGGATTCAGGCCCACACCACAGAGACAATTTGTTCCCCACGTCCCATGGAGCTCTCTCCACTGCAATGACTGTTGTGTTGTCCTCAGAGAGAACACTGGCCCAAGTTCAATCCCAAACATCTCCAGGAAGGGCAGGGAATGTCTTAAGGGCTTGTCCACACTTCCGCTTCTCCTGTGCCTTGGAAGCACAGGTCTGAGCCATTTCCCCCTTTCCCCTCACCTTTCCCAGGGAAACCCACTCTTTAGCTCTAAATCAGAACAAATGGCAATCCACAGAAATCCCAATTGTTGTTTGCTCCGATTGAGCACTAGAGAGTAGTTTTCCCTGGGGGGAAGTGTGGGGAAGACCTGAAATTCTGTTAGGCCACTGCCAGTCAGGGCTTTTCCACACTTACCTTGTGCCCCACTCTTTCCAGGCACAGGTCTGCACTTTAAAGCTCCATGTCCAAGTGCCCCATTTTTTGCTCCAGAGTTTTCCCTGAGAAAAGCAGCTCTTTAAAGCTGACTCAGAGCAAACAACAATTTGTAGAGTGCCATTTGCTCTGACTGAGCTTTAAAGCTCCTTGAACACAATGTGCCTTGCTTTTCTGTGCCTTGCTTTTCTGTGAAGATACTTTTCTTTCTCCTCCTGTAAATATCCTTCCAACACAACAGCACTGATTTCTCTTGCCCTTTATAGAATCATAGACTCATAGAGTTGGAAGAGACCACAAGGGCCATCGAGTCCAACCCCCTGCCAAGCAGGAAACACCATCAGAGCACTCCTGACATATGGTTGTCAAGCCTCTGCTTAAAGACCTCCAAAGAAGGAGACTCCACCACATATCATCACTCAGAGGGGTCACTCAGAGGAGAAGATGGTGAAATGCAAACAGGGGACACAGAAAGGGCTGAACTCCTCAATGCCTTCTTTGCCTCAGTCTTCTCCGATAAAGAAAACAATGCCCAACCTGAAGAATTTGGAGCAAATGATTCAGCAAAGGAAACACAGCCCAGAATAACTAAGGAGATAGTACAAGAATACTTGGCTAGTTTAGATGTATTCAAGTCTCCAGGGCCAGATGAATTGCATCCAAGAGTATTAAAAGAACTGGCAGATGTGATCTCAGAACCACTGGCAGTCATCTTTGAGAATTCCTGGAGAACAGGTGAAGTCCCGGCAGACTGGAGGAGGGCAAATGTTGTCCCTATTTTCAAAAAGGGGAAAAGAGAGGACCCAAATAATTACCGCCCAGTCAGTCTGACATCAATACCAGGGAAGATTCTGGAGCAGATCATTAAGCAAACAGTCTGTGAGCATCTAGAAAGGAATGCTGTGATCACCAATAGTCAGCATGGATTTCTGAAAAATAAGTCATGTCAGACTAACCTGATCTCATTTTTTGACAGAATTACAAGCCTGGTAGATGAAGGGAACGCAGTGGATGTAGCCTACCTTGATTTCAGCAAGGCATTTGACAAGGTGCCCCGTGATATTCTTGTAAAGAAGCTGGTAAAATGCGGTCTTGACTATGTTACCACTCAGTGGATTTGTAACTGGCTGACTGACCGAACCCAAAGGGTGCTCATCAATGGTTCCTCTTCATCCTGGAGAAGAGTGACTAGTGGGGTGCCACAGGGTTCTGTCTTGGGCCCGGTCTTATTCAACATCTTTATCAACGACTTGGATGATGGACTCAAGGGCATCCTGATCAAATTTGCAGATGACACCAAACTGGGAGGGGTGGCTAACACCCCAGAGGACAGGATCACACTTCAAAACGACCTTGGCAGATTAGAGAACTGGGCCAAAACAAACAAGATGAATTTTAACAGGGAGAAATGTAAAGTATTGCACTTGGGCAAAAAAAAATGAGAGGCACAAATACAAGATGGGTGACACCTGGCTTGAGAGCAGTACATCTGAAAAGGATCTTAGGAGTCTTGGTTGACCACAAACTTGACATGAGCCAACAGTGTGACACGGCAGCTAAAAAAGCCAATGCAATTCTGGGCTGCATCAATAGGAGTATAGCATCTAGATCAAGGGAAGTAATAGTGCCACTGTATTCTGCTCTGGTCAGACCTCACCTGGAGTACTGTGTCCAGTTCTGGGCACCACAGTTCAAGAAGGACACTGACAAACTGGAACGTGTCCAGAGGAGGGCAACCAAAATGGTCAAAGGCCTGGAAACGATGCCTTATGAGGAACGGCTAAGGGAGCTGGGCATGTTTAGCCTGGAGAAGAGGAGGTTAAGGGGTGATATGATAGCCATGTTCAAATATATAAAAGGATGTCACATAGAGGAGGGAGAAAGGTTGTTTTCTGCTGCTCCAGAGAAGCGGACACGGAGCAATGGATCCAAACTACAAGAAAGAAGATTCCACCTAAACCTTAGGAAGAACTTCCTGACAGTAAGAGCTGTTTGACAGTGGAATTTGCTGCCAAGGAGTGTGGTGGAGTCTCCTTCTTTGGAGGTCTTTAAGCAGAGGCTTGACAACCATATGTCAGGAGTGCTCTGATGGTGTTTCCTGCTTGGGAGGGGGTTGGACTCGATGGCCCTTGTGGTCTCTTCCAACTCTATGATTCTATGATTCTATGATCATATTCTCAACTAGCTAGCCCCACCCCCATCAATTGCATGGATTCAGAATATGATATTACTAGCAGTGGGACCCATCCAGTATTGCTTTTGTCATCGGGGGGGGGGGGGGGATGACAGACACAATGTTTAAAGAGAAGCCATAGTTGGCTATTGGTCTGTGGTACAAGCCTGGCAACTTTTCAGTTTACATGACAATTGCTGGATCTTATCAGGTCAGATGCTGGGTCGGCCAACAGTTCTACCACTCTCTCCTATGCTTACAGCCTTTCTTTAAGTTTTACTTTTCACAATGCTGTATGTTTGTTTGTTTATTTATACTTTCATCCTCCATGTTCTGTTTTTAAAAATGCAAATATGTTTAAAAGAGTTGCAAAACTGCTCACAGAACTGATGCCTTGGTGATGTCATGTGTGCTAGCCAATTAGTAGTGTCAGTGCTTTCCCCCTTTCTTTCTTTTTAAGGAAAAAGGATCTTGGTGGACACCATGAAGTTGTTACAGTAAATGCCACACTTTTAACTTTTTTTGGGGGGGGGAGGTGCCCGTACTGCATAGCCTTGAGTACCTCCAGAAGAAAAGTACCAAGTGCTGTGACAAGCCAGATCTTCCTGCAAACTAGCATCACTGTTGTTTTTTCCTAAGGAGCAAAAGGCATGTTTGTATTAAGGAGAGTTTCAAGCCAGCTCTGCAAATCTTGTGCCTATCTTTATTTCAGTTTGAGCATTCACTAAGCCCAATAAGATTTCAAACACATCCATATTGTTAATTATTTAAATAGTTTTCAATAGATTTTAGCTTGAAAGGAAGACAAGATTTCTCTATAATTTTGCCAGAATGCATGGCTAGATTCTATCTTTCATTGTTTGCACAAGGCCTCACGGAGATTTCTCTTTTATCCCTTTTATCCTCCTTTCCAGATCTCAATAGCCAAGTGAAAGGGACTGAAAACAAGAAACGCTTCAGTGAGATTTTCCGGAGTCTGGATGCCATAGAAATTTCAATTGGAAATTCGTATGTATCCAGGATTGGTTTCATAGCAATCCTCCTAACACAGTGCTCACCACCACCACTAAATTTATCCATACTGTTGTACAGAACTGAAGGGAGAAAGATCAACGCAGATGAGGCATGAGCATCTCCATCAACTGTGGCTGCTGAAAAAAGCACAACTGCAACCATGAAAATGGCTTAGAATTGTCAGAACAATATTTCTACTGACCTGTCCAGGTTGTTATGCTTTTCGCCAGAACCAGAGGGTGCAAAGCCAGAAAAAATAACCCAGCTGAATTCTTCTTGCATTTAGCCTGGTTCTTTTATTTATTTAACAAAATTTATATACTGCTTAAATGGAAATAAAACCTCTAAGCACTTTTCAAATAATATAAAACATACATTTAAATTGTCAATAAAAATCAGTGTTAGAAACATGCTATAAAAAGCAAAATGAATAAAATCAACAGTTAAAAGTATACATTCTAAGCTAACATTATGGGTTAAATACCCATCAACTTTACATGTCTGGGTAGGCTTGCCCAAATGGAAAAGTTTTTAGCGGGTACTGGAAAAAATACAGGGAAGGAGCCTGCCTAAAGTCAACGGGCAGGGAGTTCTGGGGTTTAGGAGCTGTGACACCAAAATATGGGTTCCTTACAAATGCAGAACAGCTATTCTGGCACACCTGCAACAGTGCGAGTTGGGCAGATCCAGATGGCTGACTGGGGTAAGGGGATCCTTCAAGCAAACTGATCGGCCCTAAGGTGTTGGTAGCAGACATGTACTTTATGTTATTTTTGGTTTTTGGTTTTTTAAAGTTTGAGTTGCAGGTGCCTCCGTGGCTAGGAGTGCCTTTTACCAGCTTGATTGGTAAGACAGCTGTGGCCATTCTTGGACTGGGATAACTTGACCATTTACTGGTAACCTCGTGGTTGCACTACTCTAGTGCACTCCATGGGGCTGCCCTTGGGGTTGGTCCACAGGCTGCAGCCGCTGCAGAATGCGGGAGCAAACCACCGGCAGCATATAACACACCGCTTGGGAGATTTTTTTCTGGCTGCCAAGCTGCTGCCAGTCCAAGTTCAAGGTGTAGGTATGAAGATATAAACCCCTCTATAGCTCAGGACCAGGGAGCTTGAGAGACCACCTTATATCTCACCCAGCAGATCACTGCAGCATGCAGGAGAATTTACCCTTTCAGTGCCAAAGGTTTCCAAAGTTTTCTCTGCGGTAACTCTGGGCAGGGCTTTCTGTGTGGCTGCCCCTGCTCTGTGGAATAGCGTTCCTGTTGAGATGCCCAATGTCAACAGGTGCCCAATATCCACACTTTCCAGAAACAAACTGAGGCTTTATAGGCTTTTCCAGTTGGCTAAATGGGTTTTTGCTTTGGTATGGTTTTAGTTTTGTTTTAAACACAACTGCTGGTACCCCCACCACCCCCAGCAACTGTTTATTGATGTTTCCATTGTACATTGTCTTGAGGTAACTCTATAGAAACTAATTGATTAATGAAGATGATGGCAATAGATAATTCCGCAGCAGAGAATAATGACATCAGGAGTAATTTACTTTGGGAACAAATCAAAGGAATGCAGTTTCAATGGAAGCAGGATCAACTAAAATTGTTCTGTGGAAATGCAACCAGCCCCACACAGTTGATGCTACTGCTGGGTTTGCTTGACCTTGGGGGAGAGAGAAAATCAAGGTTTCTGGAGTTTCATGCAACTTTTGTCTCTATCAAACCAGCTTGTCTGACAAGCTACTTTTGTTTATATGATCATAACTTTAGGGAATAGTTGCATTTCTTGATATGCTGCCATTGCAGATTTTAGAAGGAAGGCTTTCAAACTGATGAACAAGCAGCAATGGAGGACTGCTTCATGTTGCCAGAAGGCAAATACCTGTGTGTCATTGCCATCATTTGTGCATATAAGCAGGGAGTCACAATGGATTATGACTCCCTATTGAGAGCACATATGTTGTACATTTTACCAGAAAAAAAATGAATTTGTCAGTGCACAACTTGCTCAGTCAGGATGACCCCAAATACTCTGGTTTTTGGGGTGGAAAAATCCAAATGCTACCGTTCTCCCAGATAAGAATCTAATAATAAATAAAGGAGGATTTGCCACTCAGTAATGGCTCCTAAAATCTACCACTCAAGGCAGCTACACCATTCTGCATAATATTGTGTTGTATGGCCCATTTTGTGTTGTATGGTTCTGGTGGAGAACCTTTACTTCTGCCGTGTGTGTAATATTACTTGTTGGCTCTTTCTAATTTGCAGGGCAGTTGATATGTTCATTGATGATGTTAATGACAATGATAGTGGAATCTCAAACCTGCAGACGGAAAAACTACAGGTATGTTGAAATGTAAGCTCTGTCACACTGTAAGCTCTGTCACACTGGAATGAAAAACTATTAGTGCATTTGTGAAAAGCTAATTTGTTCCAACAGTTCAAAAGTAACCAAATCCCTTCCTTTGCATGATAAACTCCCCCATAAAGTCTAATACCACAAAACTAGCAAAATGGGTAGCCAACATGGTGCCTATGGGTGCGGTGGCCCCCTTGAGAACTTCCACACACCACTCACTGTCCCTTGCATTAACAGGGGAGAAGGGGGCTGGCTGCCTTTCTTCCCCTCGAAAAGTCCTGTACAGCTGGAGGAGAAAGTTGGAAGGCTCTCACCTTCATCTGCTTCTTTTCTGCTGCATGTGCTTTTCAAAGCTCAGACCAGCACTTAAGCTGAAAGCAGGAGAAAGGGAAGATTCTGGGAGCTTGTGGGGAGGGGCTGGGGGAGAAAGTGGTCAAGAAAGAGAAAATGTAATTGGAGAGAGTAGAAGGAAGAGAAGGGGCAGTGTACGTGTGCAAAGATCCAGCAAAACACTGGAAACGGCATAATTTTTTTAAGAAGTTTTCTCCTCCTTCCCAAATTACCATTAAATCACAAATCATATCTGTCTCATTGACAAGACTGCAAAAATCACAGATCCTGTGCTTTGGTCTAGTGCTGCCATGGTGTAAAATTGTGGATCCAAGGCACAGATCCTTATGGATCCCCAAATAGTGAGAAATTAGCTTAATATCACTTTTTAGCTCAAAGGGTGTGAAAGGTGTCTGAGACGACACTGCAGGATATTTCAGCTATCTTGTGAGGTTTTGGATTTTATCACTTGCCTTCTACCATCTGCATAGCTGTCAAAGTTTCCCTTTTTTTAAAGGGAAATTCCCTTATTCCGAATAGGATTCCTCGCAAGAAAAGGGAAAAGTTGACAGCTATGACCATCTCCTTCTTCCCAAGTTTTTGCATCAGAAGCAGATTATGTGGGTGGGTCTGAGGTGCACAGTCTGCACCTCATGCCCTTTGGCAAAATGAAGGGCTTGCCCACACTTCCACTTGCCCCATTCCTAGAAAGCACAAGTGGGTTTCCATTTGCCCTGCTGCTTTCCCCAGGAAAACTTGCTCTTTAAGTGCTAAATGGGAGCCAATGTCCACCTGGAGAAAACCTGGTTGACCTTTGTTCTGATTCAGTGTGAAGAATGGGTTTCCTCTCGAGAAAGCAATGGGGCAAACAGAAGCTGGAAGAGCCCTAAAGCACTGTAGTTGTGTTAAACAAACCAAATGAAGCTTTAAAATGGGGGGCTGTGCATTTGGGGGTTATTCGCCCATTTAAAAACATTCTCAAAAATGTTATCATCTCTTTGTTTCACAGACAGATGAAGCGTTCTATAAATGTGAAGGAAGTTCGGAAGCAGGAGAACCAGGGAACATGTCAGGTAACAGGACAAGGGAGGTTAAACAAAGGTGGCCAAATTCAGTTTGGATTGCCACTGTCATTTTACATCTGCTGCTAGGCTTGAGGACTCTTGTAAGTTTTTGGCATCATGAATGGCAGGACATGCAGGACAGACAAAAGAAAGTCCTTCTCCACAAAATGCACAATTAATTTATGGAGTTCACCATCACACAATGTGGCGATAACCAGTAGCTTAGATGGCTTTGAAAAGGAGATCCGATGAATTCATGGAGGATGTGTCAATTAAATGATGTTTTTTTTAATTACAAAAGCCCACCCTCTGGTTATATTTTCACTTAACAGCATGGCTACCCACAACCTGTTGTGAGGAAACACATTCTTTGGTTGCTTCCCCCATCACTACTTCCATCTGGAAGGGGGAGGAGATTGCTGGCACTCCCTCTCCCCTTTCTCTTGTTTCAGAACTGTTTAGAGGCAGTTTAATGGCTGAATGGTGGCAACATGAGGATGACCTTCCTGGGAGGCATGCGATTATGTAGGTCAGGAGTTGGAACAAACCTTGCCTTGGAAGAACTTGCTTAGGTTTTGTGATTTTTCCACCCTAAATGACAGATTCCTACTCACTGATTCATGGGATCAAAGTCACGTTTAAGCATTACTGTATTAAAGACATATGTAAAAGGGAGTCAAAGAGGGAAGTGCTCTGGAATTAAGAGCAATCACTATTAAGTATGTACACACCCTTAAAAGCCAGACATTCAGTGTGATGTCTCTCACAGGTGGGGTCCTTTGCCCTCCTACAGAAGAAAGGCCTCTCATTGTGAGAACTGGTCTTTTTGGCTAGGTAGCCTGGCTGAAGGACCAAGTTGCCAGGGAGAAAAATGAAACTGTAGGTTGGAGAACTCATTAGTTCCAGAACAGTAGCACAAACAGATGACAAGAAGGGCATGTCCAAAGGATGAGTCATTGGGAGACTGGTGCTCCTTAAGTATGAAAATCCCTCCCAATGTTGCTGGACACTTACAAATAAGATTTTATACCCCTGTCATTCTTTCCAGAGGTTCCTGTGATTTTGTCTGTTGTTTCTTATATTATTGAGGACCTTCTCTGTTTTGGTTGGCATCCAAAATACCAATCCATATTTCACCACCCCATTTAACTTGGATCAAGAACAACAAACCTGTTGCCAATGACCCCTTTAATGATATCTGAATAACCTATTTACAATATTAGGGCTCCATCTGGAAGTACCCAAAGAGATGAAGGTAGCAGCACTGCTAGTAACTAGAGAAAGGCTTGTCTGGCTCAGGAGCAAGGCAAGCATCAGGAAGGCGGAAGACATGGAGCAGGTGCTGCAAGAGACACACACGCGGGGCACTTTGTTACAATGGCAGTGCATGTTACAAGGAAGGAGAAGCTACAGGGATTGAAAAGGCCAATCACCAATCAGCGGAGGAGGGGGTAGAGTAAAGCAAGAGGCTGGTAAAGATGTTTGGTCTCCTGGAAGCCAATGGGCTTCCTGTGGTCCAATGAGCAGAGTGGCTAGACACCAAGTCTGGCTTTGACTGATGACCTGACCAATGGAGACTTGTTTGCCTCCTCACGCTGCTGAGTGCTGGTGGTCAGCCACAGGGACTTCTTCTGCAGCTGCTTCCTGAAACCTGCAAATTAATTTTCTCAGCTGAAGAGGCCGACGAGATGCTGATCAAGTGCACTGGTGGCGTGGAAGCAGCCCTAGGCTATGCCAAGATGTGGTGCAAATACGTCAAGGAACTCTTGACCTGGGTTGACAAACGCCTGAATTACGGTGAGGCTGGTTTTGCATTATCCATGACCTAAACAGGCCAGCAGACCCTCCAAATTCTCCTCTAACACAGACTCTTTTAAGTTAAAATCCAGGTGATATATTTCCACATTAGGCAGCCATAAAAAATGTCACCACAAGCAGTCCTGGCCAAAACAGCAGCAGAAGATGACATTAGAATGGGTACACAGTGTTGCGACATACAAGAGCCCCACAAGAAGCATTCGGGAATCCAGCTGGATTTTCAGTAAGGCTTTATTCAGTTGCAGTCTTGCAGCATTGTAAAGCAGTCTTGGTACATTAAGGATACACAAGAAACAGGTGGAATTACATTCAGGGAGAAGCCATCACCTGAAGACAAGCTTGCCTCTTTATGCTAGCTGGCAAGGAATCAATTAGGCTACGCCCCATGATGCTTAGTCATCACATGCTGCTGAGTCAGCATTCCCTATAAGCACAGTGTTTAACTCCTTGATACCCACAACACTCCAACACACAGTTCTTTCCATGAATCTTGCCACAAGGTAGGAGCAGCTTTCCAAAATCCCATGTTTTTGTGGCTACATAGAAAGAAGCTCTCTGCTCCTACTATATGTTTCCTTTGGAAATTCAGTCTATTGTTGTTTTCTGTTCATAGAAACTGAGTTTGCAAAGAACATCCTGAAGATTGCTGATGCTGGCAGGAGTGCCATTTTCCCACAGGTATTGTTTCCTAGTTGCTCCCTTCTGGGACTGCCCTACGTTGTCTGATCTGTAGGGTCTTTGCTAGTCTCTCCCATGTAGAGCCTAAATGTATAAGGTGTGTGTGTGTACCCCCCCCCCCCACGTTTACAGGTACCATTTTCCCAGTACGTATAAAGATGAATTCACCCATGCAAGGGCAAGTGTTCCAGGGTGACACTTCCAATAACGCAGCACCCAAAGGCAACTGTTATTTTCTGGTATTATGTTCTCATCAGCTAGTTAGTGGACATGACACACTTGAAAGCTAGCCTCTCTACTTGACAGAGCAAAATTAACTCTTATGTGCATTACACCATGCTATTAGCATTAATTTCATGTCTGTTTCATTCCTGCAGCTCTGAGAAGCAACCAGCATCCTCTGTATGTCAGGGATGGGCAACCTGGTACCCCCAGGTGTTGCTGGATTGCGACTCCCACCATCCTTCACCATTGGCCATGCTGGGGGGGGGGGGCTGATGAGAGTTGGAGCCCAACAACATCTGGAGCACCACATAGTTCCCTGTCCCTGTTCTATGTTGTACACTCAAACCTCTGTTCTCAAATGGCTCTGTTTTCAAATGTTTTGGCTCCCGAATGCCAAAGACCCGGAAGTAACTGTTTTCAAACAATTTTCAGAAGCTGAACTTCTGACACGGCTTCCGTTTTGAGTTTCCCTATTGTATTGAGGCTTCTGCTTTCAATTTTTGGTTGTCGGACGTTTCGGAAGTCGAATGGTCTTCCAGAGTGGATTACATTTGACAATTGAGGTTTGACTGTATCGTAGTGCCATGACACTAGCTTCTAATATGGCTGGGCTAAGTTGCAGCTAGAACTCCTAAAGCTTGATTCTCTGCTTTCTCCTTTAAGCAGGCAGAGGAGTTGTTGCTGAAAACCACTTCTGTGTGGTATGCAGCTAGTTTTGTGGATTGGCTCTGGTGCTTCAAAAGTCTCGAAAGCCAGTTGCAGTGCTGATGTGGACACTTGCCACGTGACGTGGCTGATCCACGGGGTGAGCTGTTCACATATGCCATGGTTACTGCATTGAGCCAGCAAATGAAACCGGCAGAGCAGTGCCACATACGTGAGATAGGAGGTCTTCTTTCATCGCTGTGCTAATAGGGAGACTGAGCATTCCCTGTAAGCTGGGATTTGAACCCAAACATCCTTGTTCCAGTCCCAACACTCTCAGTCCTAGAACCCATTGGCTCTGTGTTTTTGTCTTTTCAGACTTGTATGCCCTTACAGACTCTGTACACCATGACCATGGAGCATGACATCAGGGCAGGGAACTTGGCCATAGAGACGGCTGGGATTTTGCAAATGAAGGAATACTATCAGGTACAGTGTTTCTCAGCTTAGATGAGACACCATTTTACAAATGCAGCAACTAAAATCTCTCTTGGGCTTGCAATCCATTCTGCTGATTTGCCCAGGTCCCTTGGTCACTCGTGGTGTCTCCTGGATGCCATAGATTTGTAAATAATGAAACCTACTGCTGGAGATCTCACTTCCTGCACCCCACCTTGCCTTGCAGCCTCTTTCGGCGAAGAGGAATGAAATTGAGAAATGGCGGAAGGAATTCAAAGATCAGTGGCAGAAGGAGCAGAAAAGGATGGTAAGAGCAGATCTAGGAAAGGATCGTGGTGGGGGGGTGGGGAGGGAAAAAGCTGCAATCACTGGGAAGTCCCCTTTCAGGTGGGCGTGGGCTATGCAGTATTTCTCAGCTGGTTCCTGGGCAATGCATGCTGGGATTGATATGAAAGTGGAGGCTTGGGGAAGTACTAGGACAGGCATAGGCAAACTCGGCCCTCCAGATGTTTTGGGACTACAACTCCCATCATCCCTGACCACTGGTCCTGTTAGCTAGGGATGATGGGAGTTGTAGTCCCAAAACATCTGGAGGGCCAAGTTTGCCTATGCCTGGACTAGGAGCTTGTCCCAGGGCTTCCATGCAAGTTCACATCATCCCTGTAACCCCTGTGCTCAAAGAAAGACAGTCTCACCAACACTTTCAAGTCTTCTTATCTGTCATCCCTTACCCTGCAATATTTCTCCAATAGAAAAGGGGGCCTCACCTGTGGTGGTTCAAGGGGTTGCTCATGCGTACGCCGGTGCCCACACCTGGCTCGGTTGCCTAAGTGAACCTTTTCTGTCCGGACAGCCACTCACCCGTGGCTGTCTCAATCGCTGGCAGAATCCGTCAGTGGGCGTTTCTTAAACTTCTTCCAGCAAAGAAGTTCTTTCACGCCCAGTCGCCTCCTACTTTCCCTGCGCGGAAGCCTTCTGCGCAAGGAAGGCATAGGCAGCGGAGGACCCTTCCTCCCCCCACTGGTCCCAGGCAAGGAGTCATGTGACTCCCTCTCAGATTCCCCCATCTGCCCCCCTTCTCCACTGGAACTGAGCTGATTCCCTTCCCCAGAAGATGGGCTGCCTCTCCCAATCCCATGACGCTCTCTGGGATCCCTCTGGAGCTCTCTCTCTCCCTCCGGCACTGATGGCAGTTCCCTGACATCACCCCAACTAAATTGGTCAAAATGTATAAAAGGGTGTTAGAAATGCAAAGAAACAGAGGGGACATGTATACACATGTGGTAGGGATGTAAGAAAGCTAAGGAATATTGGGAGAAGATATACACAGAAATTTTAAAAAATGCTAAAGTTGCCATTTTCAAAAGACCCAGAGATGTTCCTTTTGGGTATAATAGAGGCTGAGAGACCTAGGAATGTATTAAATCTTTTTCTTTATGCAACCGCTGCAGCCAGAATAGCCTATGTACAAATGTGGAAGGCTAAAACAGACCAACGAAAGAGGATTGGCAGAATAAGTTAATAGAATATGTGGCGTTAGCAATATTGACTGCAAAGATAAGAAGCCAGGATGAACATACCATAAGAGACGAGTAGGAAAACTTTGGAGAATATTTAAAGAATTACAGGTGAAACTTGGAAAATTAGAATATCATTTATTTCATTTATTTCAGTAATTCAACTTAAAAGGTGAAACTAATATAATTGTGATGATCAACTACTCAAATCTCATTTCTGATGAGAGCAGCTTTTGCATCTCATTTGGAAACCAAGGACCCAGAGTCTGGAGGAATAGTGGGGAGGCACACAATGCCAGATGCTTGAAGTCCAGTGTGAAGTTTCCACAGTCTGTGTTGATTTGCGGAGCCATGTCATCAGCTGGTGTTGGTCCAATGTGCTTCATTAAGTCCAGAGTCAACAGTCAACACAGCCATCTGTCAGGAGATTTTGGAGCACTTCATGCATCCTTCCACAGATGAGCTTTATGGGGATGCTGACTTCATTTTCCAGCAGGACTTTGGCACCTGCCCACACTGCCAAAAATACCAACACCTGGTTCAATGCCCATGGGATTACTGTGCTTGATTGGCCAGCAAACTCGCCTGACCTGAACCCTATAGAGAATCTATGGGGCATTGCCAAGAGAAAAATGAGAGACATGAGACTGAGCAATGCAGTAGAGCTGAAGGCTGCTATTGAAGCATCCTGGTCTTCCATAACACCTCAGCAGTGCCACAGGCTGATAGCATCCATGCCACGCCGCACTGAGGCAGTAATGGATGCAAAAGGGGCCCAAACCAAGTACATGCTTCTACTTCTCAGAGGTCCAATATTTGCAATCCTTGTTTTGCTGATTTCATTTAATATTCTAATTTTCTGAGATTGTTAATTTGGGGTTTTCATCAGCTGTACGCCATGATCATCACAATTATAAAAAATAAAGGCTTGACATATCTTACTTTGCATGTCATGAGTCTATCTCATATATTAGTTTCACCTTTTAAGTTGAATTACTGAACTAAATGAACTTTTCCACGATATTCTAATTTTCTGAGTTTCACCTGTATAACAGTTACATAAATCTCCAAGTAGGAATAGATATATGAACAGCAGCTAAATCAATTAAAAGGGGTATAAAGATATGTAGCACAACTAAGAGTAAAAAGGAACCCATGGAGGGGTGTGTGGGGAAGTCGAATAATGTAGAATATTGTGAAAGCATAAATAAAATTTTAAAAAAGAAAATACGGATATCCCATTCCATAATGATAATTTGACTATTTATACCCCACACATCTTACTGGGGTTGCCCCAGCACTCTGGGAAGCTTCCAACAGATATAAAAATATAATAAAACACTAGACATTAAAAAACTTCCCTTCAGAGGCTCGGGGGTTGGATAACTCCATACCCCCCAATAGTTCTCCAATGAAAATAGGGATATTCTAAGGAAAAGTGGGACATTCCAACCAGGATCAAATCAGAAACCAGGATGACTTCTCTAAATTAGGGATGTCCCTGGAAAAGAAAGACACTTGGAGGGTCTGTGATCCTTTTTCGTCCCAAGGACCGTAGCCAGAGGTGCTCTCAGAGGCATTACATGCCTTTCTCTGTCAACTTTAATTAAAAGCCATACATGGCTGACTTCCAGCAAGGCAAGGTGGCGAGTGCCACAGCTGTGCAGGGCTCCTGAGGACCGCCAGCACCAACTGTGTGGCTTGGCTGGTCTCCATGCCACTGCAGCTGCCATGGGGGGGAGGGACTGGCCCGTCTTGTCTCAATGTCCAGATTGGACAGCATTCTGCTCACACAAGGTCTGATCCCCCAGTAGAAACAGCAAACATTGGTAACATTAAAATCACAAACCATGCCCCAGTAGAAGCTACCCTCAAAATAGGAGAAGAAGCACAAACTATCTCATCATGATCCTTCAGCCCCATCCTAACCACAAACCAACTAGCTAGAGAGAGTCTCTTGAAAACTCTCCAGAACTGCTTTAAGGACAATGATGTGGTTGACATTACAACCCCCTTCCTTTGGGACACAATGAAAGCAGTCAACAGAGGAGCCTTCATAAAGAAGAGGGCATCCATTAAAAAAAAAAACCTCCTCAAAAATTGATAAATTCGAACAAGACATTACAACCCTCTCATCACACTACAAACAAACAGAAGCCAAAAAACTCCTTAAACTCATAGAACAAAAAAGAAGGAAAATAAACTTTCTAGAAATCAATAAAACAATGATTAACATCCTATATTCTAAACAAAGCTTTTACGAATATGGGGGGAAGAACTCCAGACTATTAGCAAACAGATGCAGGAAAAGATCACTCAGAATAAGAATACACTGTGTCACGGCTTCCTGTTTCCGGCAGTGGAAAATGGCTGATCCCACACAATCGGACTTCAGCTGTTCCGATAATTTAGGGCTGATATGGGGGTAATTAGCCCTGGCAGCCTCCCCAGGGCAGGGGAGGACTGTCTCAACGACCCACGGTCTGCCCCAGATTGCCGATGTGGCAGACGGCAGGGGCACTGGGTCACGGAGCTAGGGACGGCTGACACTCCTGCGACACCACCCCATAGCCGGACGCATCTGTTTGGGAAAATATAAAGATTTGGAAAACAAACAGACACGCTCTGAATTGAAGAAGCTGGGAAAAACCTGCAGTATGTACAGTCTCTGGTGCAAAAGATCGAACTTCAAAGAGATCCTCATCATGACGTTTGGAATGTGGAGGGGCTTGGTATGTAAAAAAAAATTCTTTTATCCTTAACATCAACAATCCGTAATGCATGCCAAGTCTCATTAAGAACTTAAATTGCTCTTCAAAAAGTGAGTTCAGATGGACTTTCATATATAATTGGGATCTACTCGCAGCCACTTCTCTTCTAAGACCGGAAATGTCTGTTAAAGACGAAAACAAAGGACAAAATGGCGTCTCCCACCACGTCGTTATTGAATATCTGAAATACCTCCCTGATTAAGAGAAACAGGAGCTAACGGATGGTTGGTTATAAAGGCTGGAAACAATACTACATATACAACTGTTTGCAAAAAGATGTTTTTTTGATTACGAGCGAGAGAGAGGGCTAAATGGATGTCTGGCAGTCCCCCTCTAGGGCCCGGAGGGGGGACTGGGAAGATTCCAAAGGCCAATTGCTAACTGTCTGATATATGGCTACATTGCAAACAGTCTGTTTAAGATAAATCAACGAGGAGGGTACAGAAGGAAATTTCTCTCTGTTTCTTTGATAACACCTGGACGGGAAAGATTAACGATCTGGGAGCTGCCAAAATAACAACTCTCAAAGAGCTGGACAGAACTTTGAAATTGGATGCAATTAAATGAAGCGGTGCGATGAAAAAACAGTGCGATGAAGGAGTACAATATACGGACAAATCTGCACTCCATAGAAAAAAAAATATCGGTTTTCTGACATGAATGAGGATCGTAGAACCAGAGTCAAAATGTGGAAGGGAAAAATGGAACATGGAATTATGAATAACATTGAGGATGATGAGAGGCAGGACTATGATGTTGAATGCGCTTCGAAATTCAGACCATGGGAAGTCAAAACAAAATTATTACAATTTGGAAGACAATTGGACCTTTTTTATTTTAGTTTTTTATTTTTATTGGATCTGATTTGATATGTTAATTGGATGTTTTTATTGGAAAATTAATAAACGCTTTAAAAAAAAAGAAAAGAATACACTGTGTCACATAAAAAAACACATGGTAACATAACATCCTCCACCAAAGAAATAACCTCAGAATTTGCTGAATACTATCTGACTTTTAGAAGACATCTGAAGGCAGCCATGTTTAGGGAAGTTTTTAATGTTTGATATTTTATCACTTTTATTATTAATATTCTATTGGGAGCCACCCAGAGTGGCTGGGAAAACCCAGCCAGATGGGTGGAGTATAAATAATAAATTTATTACTACTACTACTACTGAATTTTACGCCAATCTATACACCTCCCGCAACCCGCAACAGGAAATCAGAAGATTCCTAACAGGACTGGCCATGCCAACCTTAACTGCAGAGGAACAAGAATTCATGCACAGCCCTATCACCCCACAGGAAATAGAGACAGTATTCAAAAATCTGTAACCACACAAAGCCCCAGGCCCAGATAGCTATACAGCAGAATTCTACAAAAAATTCAAAGAACCCCTGATGCCTTACATGACCTGCCTATTTAACGACATCACAAAAGGGCTCCCCATCCCTAAAACCTGAACCTCTTCCAAAATAGTTTCTATCCTAAAGCCACCCAAAGATAGCCTCAAAATAGAATCATACCGCCCAGTCTCATTGATAAATCAATCAATCAATCAATCAATCAATCACATCAATCCTGGCTAACCGCCTAAAAATCTTCCTACACAAACTAATCACCATGGACCAGGCAAGCTTTGTCCCTGGTTGCAGCATAACAGACCCCATTAGGAGACTACAGTGGTACCTCGGGTTAAGTACTTAATTCGTTCCGGAGGTCTTTTCTTAACCTGAAACTGTTCTTAACCTGAAGCACCACTTTAGCTAATGGGGCCTCCCGCTGATGCCGTGCCACCAGAACATGATTTCTGTTCTCATCCTGAAGCAAAGTTCTTAACCCGAGGTACTATTTCTGGGTTAGCGGAGTCTGTAACCTGAAGCATATGTAACCTGAAGCATGTGTAACCCGAGGTACCACTGTACTGAATCTGGTAGAACACAGCAAATCAACCAAACTCCCATTGACAGTCATGTCATCTACATTTGCATAATACTGAAGTACATATTCATGAAAATTCAATGCAACACTGCTGGATTTTGCCTTCCTGTGCTCTGGCCAGTGAGTGTTTAGGCACCAGGACAATTGAAAAACACATGATACAGGCTGTTCAGTGCTGTTAAGTTTTTGAAAGGAATTATAGCATGCACTCAATATAGTGAATAATTTCAAATACGCTCGTCTATTGGTATTTAGATTGCACTGACTTCCCCTGCTTCTCCCGCTGCTCTTCTACCTCCATGTCTATTAAATGTGATTAGAAGTGTAATGTGAGCAACTCCTGTGAGGTGCTGTTTGTGCAGCTGCTGCTTCCTATGGTGTGGACGGGGGGGAACCAAGCATGATAAGCCGATGACAAATATAGAATGAATCTGCAAGTAATGCTGGATGGCCACCCATGTTGAGCTACTTCCAATGTAGCTTTTTGTTTTTGCTAATTAGTTACTAGCTCACAAAAGGTTTTGCTTGCCCAGTTCCCAGAGATACCTCCTTCAGGGCTCATCCAGACTTGTGCTTCTTAAAAGACACTTTAAAAAGCATAGGTCCGAGGGTTTCTTTGCTTGTCCCCTGCTTACTAGTCATAGGTCTGAGTGGTTTTGCTCTTCACCCACCCCTTTCTCCCAGAAAATCCACTCTCTAGCCATAAATCAAAACAAGCATTAATCTGGAAAAAACTTCATTGACATTTGCTTTGATTCAGCGGTTTTCTTTGGGGTGGGAAGCAGTGCGGCAAGGAGCCCATCGTCATTTATGACACTCTGGGGGGCTTCCAGTTGTAGGATACTTCTCCTGCTCCATCAACTGGAAGCAAATTTTACTTGCCAAGGCCACTAAGCCTATAGATATTTTCAAGCCTGATTTAGAAGGGTTACAGCCGGGAAACACACTTTAAATCCACAAAAATGTGCTTTTCCCCCAAAGGTTATTGCAATTTGGTTTTAGCACTTTGATCAGGAAGGAAAGAAAAGCTCCCTAGATGCCTCCTAATGCAGGTCTGAGCTTCTAAATGAAAAAATGACCCAGAGCCACAGCTGGTCAGACATGCCCTTGTAACTCCTCCTTCAATTGCAGAATGATTCCAGGTCCTCGATGCAGAAGGCACGGCTCCACTACCTGCAGCGCTGCGAGGATCTGGAGAAAGCCAAAGTGCTAAGTGCCAGAGCAGAAGAAGAATGGCAGACCACTGCAGGCAGCGGCAACAAGCAACTGGAGAAGCGGCGTCGATGTCGTGATGAGCTGCAGTCAAAGGTATCAGTCTGAGATCCTAAAGCCTATGCAGTTTGTCCCTTTGTCATTTGCAATCTGGGGTCTAGTTCAGACCTCGGATTCTGGAATTCAGGTCCTCCTAATGAAGAGCCTGTAAATGTGTGGCAAAGACTCAGATGCCAAAGGTGAGTTGGGAAACAGGGCCAATGACAAGTTTTTGTGGGCTATGAAACTGGGTGTGGAGGATCTCTGCATGGGAGACCAAATGACAACAAAGCAACTCACACAGAAAGGTTGATGGCCTATTGGTCTGGTCACCCCTGGTAAGACAGGGTGTATTAGTTGGTCAAAATCTCTATTATCTTTGGTCTGTTTGTAGTCATAGCCTTTTATATACTAAACTTTTATGCTTTCCGTTATCCATTTAATGCTCCTAACCCTTCTTTTAGCTTCTTTTATATTTTTATAGTCTTTTATATATACCTTCTCTTTAGATGTTTTATAGATTTTAAATGATTGTACTCCACCCTACATCTATGACCGTAATAAACAGTTTTGTTTGCAAAGCCTAGAAGGCCCTTTAGAATACGCCAGTATTTTATTGTATTCTTTTATTAAGTGCTGTCCATGGAGGCCCAGGTCAATTATATGTCCGGGGCAGCTGTCTACCAGCTCCATCTGGTATGCAGGCTGAGACCCTCCCTGTCCGCAGACTGTCTCACCGGAATGGTGCATGTTCTAGTTATCTCCCGCTTGGACTACTGCAATCACCTTTGAAGGTGATTTGAAAACTACAACTAATCCAGAATGTGGCAGCTAGAATGGTGACTGGGAGCAGCCACCGGGACCATATAACACAGGTCCTAAAGGATCTAGATGGGCTCCCAGTACAACAACAACAAAAACAACAACAAATTATTTATACCCAGATATAATTTATAGCTGACTGGGTTTCCCCAGCCACTCTGGGTGGCTATTTACATGTGCAGACTTTATATAATTCACTAGGTAACACATTTCAATGGAAAAGTCAACTCAGAAGATATACAGGTCACTCTAACAATAAGAAATGCAGTTTCAGTCCAGAAGAATTTTGTTTCTCCTTTCCTCTGAAGAGGAGTTTCCAAGCACAATTCAAAGTGTTAAAGCCCTAAACGGCCTTGGCCCAGTATATCTGGAGGAGCATCTCCACCCCCATTGTTCAGCCCAGACACTGAAGTCTTCCTCCGAGGGTCTTCTGCCGGTTCCTCACTGTGAGCAGTGAGGTTGCAGGGAACCAGGCAGAGGGCCTTCTCAGTAGTGGCACCCACCCTGTGGAACACCCTCCCATCAGATGTCAAAGAAATAAACAACTATCTGACTTTTAGAAGACACCTGAAGGAAGAGCTGTTTTAGGGAAGTTTTTTATGTTTGGTGTTTTATTATGCTTTTATATTGGTTGGAAGCTGCCTAGAGTGGCTGGGGCAACCCAGTCAGATGGGCAGGGTACAAATAACAAAATAATAATAATAATAATAATAGTAATAATAAATTAATTTTGTTTGAAGATTTCAGCTTGTGTGTAACCAAAAGGTTATTGCATGACTTTCTGGCTGCTCTCTTCAGACTTTTATCAACTACCTCCCTGAGTAACCTCTCTCAAGAAGCCGATTGCCTAATGTGGATATTGAAGGAAATTTGGGGTTTGCCCAGTGACTTTGAAACTCCAAAGGAAATTAACAAAGGGATCAGAGGAAGGCTGCAACAAACGGCGTCGTTTTTCTATGTGACAATGAACCTCAAACTAAAACTGCATGTATGATTTCAGCTTAGTTTTAAAGTAAATTTTACAAAATTTATTTTGGGTGCATAATTTGGCTTTTGTGGTGGAGGTATCCACATAGGGCACTTCCTCAGGTACCCTCAGAAATGTGTAAGTACCCCCTTCATCTCCAAGTCAGCACTTTCCATTCCTACCCTCAGTTTTTATTTCACTGCCCACAGGTTCAGGAACTGGAAGTTGTCTATCGAAGCTGCGTCTATGATGCTAACATCCACCGGCAGGAACTGGAGAAAGTCAGGGAGAGAATCATCTCCCACATTCGCAAACTTGTGTACCAAGGAGATGAGGTGCTGAGGCGGGTAAGTCGTGATCTGTGCTGAGGGAATATCCCTGGCCCTTTCCTACTCTTCTCCAGGTACAAAGACAGAAGTGACTCAAGGAGGCCTCACCCCAATTAATTACCTACCAATTAAGGGAGGCAGGAAACTTGAGTGCAGAAAGGTCTAGGGATGTAAGAAGGCAGCAATTTCCATTTGTCATAACTGTTTCCATTCTGCTGCAGTTCAGTTTCCGTTAAATACTATGCAGCTTGTCTGGCTGTCCACTATTTAACATAAATGGTTTTACAAATCTATGGTGCAACCGCATTTGGAATACTGTGTAAAGTTCTGCTCTGTTGGAAGAATCTCAGAAAAAGGGAATAAAATGCTCAAGGGGAGAGGGCAACTCCCCTTTGAGAAAAGGTTGTGGCAGTTGGGCCTTTTTGACTTAGAGAAAAGGCAAGTAAGAGGTGACATGACAGAGGAGGGAGAAAGGTTGTTTTCTGCTGCTCCAGAGAAGCGGACACGGAGCAATGGATCCAAACTACAAGAAAGAAGATTCCACCTAAACCTTAGGAAGAACTTCCTGACAGTAAGAGCTGTTCGACAGTGGAATTTGCTGCCAAGGAGTGTGGTGGAGTCTCCTTCTTTGGAGGTCTTTAAGCAGAGGCTTGACAACCATATGTCAGGAGTGCTCTGATGGTGTTTCCTGCTTGGCAGGGGGTTGGACTCGATGGCCCTTGTGGTCTCTTCCAACTCTATGATTCTATGATTCTATTCTATGATTCTAAGTTTATAAAATTATGCATGGCATAGAGAAAGTGGAGAGAGAAAGTTTTTCTCCCTCTCTCATAACACAAGAACTCATCAACATCCAATGAAGCTGAATATTGGAAGATTCAGGACAGACAAAAGAAAGTCCTTCTTCACGCAGCACAGTGTTAAACTATGGAACTCCCTCCCACAGGAGGGAGTGTTGGCCACCAACCCGGATGCCTTTGAAAGAGGATTAGACAAATTCATGGATGACAAGGCTTCTACGGCTGCCAGCCCACTGGCAATGTTCCCCCTCCCCTGTCAGAGGTCATCTGCCTCAGAACGCCTGTTGCTGGGAGTCAGACAGGGCAGAGTGTTGTTGTGCCCACATCCAGCTTGCCACAGATTTCTCACAGGCCCCTGGTTGGCCCCTGGGATGCTCTAAACAGGACGCTGAATTAGACGGACCATTGGTCTGATGCAGCAAGCTGATCTTATATTATTATTATTATTATTATTATTATTATTATTATTATTACCCTATCCTTTGGCCTAAGGTCCCAGGGCGGGTCACAGCAGTTAAAACACAATGTTAAGAAGCAGTTTAAAGCAACTTAACACCACAAAAATAAGGTGAGTCCTATGTATCCCTTTTGTCTGGCCCCCATGAAGCTGGATTCTCAGTCCTCACCTGGAACTGTCTGGAGAAGGATGGGACACAGCTCTCCAATGAGAGGCCAAGGCAGACAGGGGACGGAACAGAACTTTGGGCCTTTGTTTGGAAGGGAAAAAGGGAATTGGAAAAGGGCAGTTGAAGAAGTGAAAGGGAGAGAAAAAGCAGGAAAGAGGAGGAACAACAACATAAGTAACGGAACGAAAGAGCCAGGCAGGTCAAACACAGAGACACAAAGGAAAATACTTTTGAGAGACTTGCACAGCTGCTGCAGTTGGAGAAATGCACAGGCTTGAGAGAAATGATCGGGGAAAGTAATGCTGATTATCTGTATTGCAGCAAAGGGCATTTAGGTGAAGTCCTCAGAACACTCATAGACAGCATCCCATCAACTTATACGTACAGTCATACCTTGGGTTAAAGTTGCTTCAGGTTGAGCGTTTTCGGGTTGCGCTCCACGGCGACCCGGAAGTAACGGAACACGTTACTTCCGGGTTTCGCTGCTTGCGCATGTGCAGACGCTCAAAATGATGTCACGCGCTTGCGCAGAAGCTGTGAATCATGACACACAGACGCGGGTTGCATTCGCTTCAGGATGTGAACGGGACTCTGGAGCGGATCCCATTCGCATCCAGAGGTACCACTGTACCATGCTTTTGGCGTGTTTAGATAAATTTGCAAGCATTACCCTGTGACACTGATGATCAACATTGCTTTGCCCCTGTTGTGTATTTGAGGGCGGCGGGGCGGGGGGAGAGACTGAGAGACAACAGCTTGCCTATGGACACCTGTGAGCCTCGGAATTTTAATTACAGCTCCCATCATTAACCAACAGGTAAAACCTGTGTTGGATATTGCAGTTTTCAAAAACAACAGGCACCTCCAACTGTCCGATTTCAGCATCAGTCTGAATTGCATTCTATTACTACACAGTGGGTGGAGGAACAAGAATCATTACCATTGCTTGCTATGGTTTTCAGGAACATTTAGTTTAAAGTGAGCCTAGCAACAGAATAGATTGGAAACACCTCCTGTTGGCTGACATGATTTTCACTGTTCCCCTTCTCCAGCAATTCTCGATACATTTTGCAGCTTGTTCTATTTGGGTTTCAGTCTCCTTTAGTCTCCTTTTGCTAGTTGCCGCAGCCAAGCCCCAAGATGAGGAAGACTTTAGAGGGGAGGACTTCGGGGGCAGGTGGAGAACAGAAGACAGAAAACAGCATCCAGGGAAAGAACTAGACTGAAGTGGAAAGAGAGACCATGGAAGCTGTGCTATATGGTGTCTGGACCATCTCCGAAGTTGCAAGGGGAAAACCTCCTTGGCTGGGCGTTCAAAAGAGATGTGGACAGAAGTTGGGCTGCCTAGGAGTTGTGGGGATATGGAGATGGTGGATGGATTCAACCTCCTTCCACTTATTCATGATGTGTGTGTGTGACAACCGTCATCATAGATGGGGCCAGCCTCAAGGATTGGTGTCATGGGGCACTTCCTGAGGGTGCATGTCTTCAGGAGGCCTCACTGCCCTTGGCTGGTCCTGGCCTGCCTGTGGCTGTTGGAGAGCATCTGTAGGCACAAGGAAATAGCAACACCTTCCCAGCAACACCAGGGACTCAGAAGAAGCTTGCTGATGGGAGCAGGCATAGCTATGGCAGCCTAGCAGCTTCAAAACACCACTGAGTAGCTGAAGTGAGGTGAGAGAAAGGGAGGAATGTAAATGACATGTGCGGACACCTTGTGCAAGCTTCCAGCAGATGAAAAACAAAGTAAAAGCAGGTGAACAAGAAAAACAGGAGACAAACACACAGCAGCTGAGGAACAGAGCCCACATCTTCCTTCCCTCTAATATCATTCATCTTGCTTGTTGTAGGAATCTGATTTTGAGCCCTAACAGCTGACAGCAGAGCTCTCAAGCAAAAAAAAAGAGTGAAACCAGCACGGAATAGCTATAAACTTCATCAGCAGGAGGTGTGGAACGAGAGAAGTGATGCCATAATTGTGGCAGCCAATAGAAAGGTGTCTTTGGTCCTTCTCCAGGACTGCAGTTTTCAGCTAACTTTACATTACATTTAAATTTCATTTTTATGAAAACTATAATATCTAGATTTAGGGTTCTTTTCAAAATAGTTATTAATCAATTAACTGTTTAGGAGAATTTAGGAGAAATCCCAGTTCTGAACTTCCGAATGATGAAAAGTCATTTATGGTCATATTTTGTTTCCCTAAGGTCACCTTGAGGATGTTCATGTTCCAGAAAGCCCAGGCAGAGCGAATCCCTGCAGGATACCAGAACCTGACTGAGATCTGCAAGCCCTACAAGGTTGGGGCAAAGTACCTGGAGTTCATTCAGAACCTGCAGAAAAACGAGCTTCCGATGGAGGTGTACAAATTTGAGGAGTTTATATCCTCAGGGCAGAGGTAAGGAAGAACATTTCTTACTCCTCCACCACACCTCAAGCAGTGTAATGCTGCAGACTTTGGATGTCACACCTACACATGTGTACAAAACAGAATTCCTTTGGGGCTAAAAAACAACAACTATCCATGGGAGCATAAGATGCAGAAAGATGCCCACAGGTTCAGGATATACCAAAGATGCATGAGAAAGACTGCCAAATCTTTACCATTGGCGCAAGGTCAATACTATGTCATATAGTTGGTACTATGGGGAAAATCTTACTACAATACATCCTATTTTATCTATTGCATTATTTTTATTTTCCAGCCATCTCTGAATTTGCTGGGTGTTGGGGAGGGGATAAATAAATTTAAATTAAGATAAAATGTCCAAGCAAAGAAATTAAGTTGCTTCCACATAGATTTGCTATTGACCTTTCACAGAGCCTGAGAGCAGAACTACACGTTATGAGGAAAACAGATTCAGCAGATTCTCCTTTGCAAAGGCCACCCCTGGCCATTTTTAAAATCATTTTGTCCCCAGCCAGAGCCCAGAACCCTGAGGCAAGTCAGGCCAGCAGAGTGAATTGAAACATGTCAAGCAAGAGTTTTGAAACTTTCTGCCCCAGAGGCCTACTTGGCAGGGCTGAAAGCGATGGCTGTCCCTCATCATAAATTGGTGGTGCGGGGGGGGGGGGGCATCCTAAAGTGGTGGCAGATGGAGGCAGAGTTCAGCATAATCAGCTGACAATTGCTGACAGCATTTTCTGCTGATAGCACTTTTTAGAAATTGCTAGTTTCTTGGACAGAGCAATTTTATCATGGCAAGGAGTTTCATACTTCAGTTTTCCTCAAGCTAAGTACAGATATTAGCCCTGGAGGCAAGGTGACTCAGTCACAGGGGTTTTAAGTGGAGAGGTTTTGTTTTTTAATGTTTTCCCTGCCCCCTCTGTGATTTCTTCTCCTTTCACACTTCTTATCTCTGATGAACTACTAGTGTTTTTCATCCCTTCTCCCTGCTTCTATTATGTTCACTTATTCCTCCTATAAATGTCATTTTTATTCCCAAGTTATTGTTGCTGTTGTTATTTTTAAAATTAACTTTTTATCTCTTATTCTAATTTCCTTCAGCCCTCCTTCCTCTGGCCTTTTCCTCTCACAGGAAGGAAACCTTCCTTCTCTCCTCTCCCTCCCAGCCACCTTTGCTCAGTATGGGGGGAGTCACTGGTGCTGGCACCCATCCAACCCCAAGAGGGCATCAAGGGAAGAGGCGCTGAGCTGAAAGGGAGACCTACCTGAAAGTGGACTGAGGCCCATAGTGGTCCACTGTCTGGGAAATGGTGATGTCAAAGACTGCTTGATAAAGTAGGCACAGGTTGTAGGAGAATCCATTTCATTTGTTGAAGGTGATGCATGACCCAGAGCCAGCTTTTGTAATGGTTAGTGATTGTGTAGGTACCTTTCTTCATTTAGGGTGGTCATAGCCCAGGGCAGTGGCAGAGGAAGGGGTGTGTGAACCGCCCCGGGTGTCATCAGTGTGTGGGGGTATGGGGGTGTGACAAAATGACAAAAATATTAGTTAAAACTTTTTTTTAAAAAAAAAATTGGGCTCACAAAACTTTTTAGTTCAGTCAACACTGGGCGCCACACCACGGAGGCCGGCACTTACCGCAGGGCCTGCAGTGTGTTTGAGCCATGCGTCTCTCCTGGGAATGACGTGGTGGCTTGAGTGCCTGCAGGCTCGGCGCTGCCTGAAACGGCAGCGTGGGGCTTGCGTCTGCCCACCGCCTCTTCCTACAGCTGAGGGGGAGGCAGTGGAGAGGGTCCATGCAGCGAGCCCCACCCCCAGGACGTGCACACTGCACCGGGCACCCAAGCAGCTAGCTACGCCATGGCCCAGGACAATAACTTATGAGACAAGAGCTGCTTCTACACCAGGCACTAAGTATGGAATCACCATTCCTTGTTCACGGATAGCTTAGAAGGCTCCACACAAAGCTGTCCTCCATTTGCAATCTGCCAATGGTTTGCCAGTACATCTTCCATCTTTTTTCTTACTGCACATAGTCTGGCTTGTTGGAGAATGGTGGAAGTGCAGACCATCTCCACAGGTAGAGGTGCTCTTCAGTCCTTTTAAAACAAGAAATATCTTCTTCCAGCTAGCTGCTTGATGAAGGCTAGTGTGCCTACACATGATGGGAGCAGCAAATGCACCAGCCTGCCACCTGCAATGGCAAAACCATTGAACCATCGCACCAACTCATGAACAAGTTCTTTACTGACCATTAAATGTTTGCATCCTTTGAGAAAACTGAAGTGCTTGACAGATGCATTGCTTTCTCAGGTCACCCCCCACCAATGCCAGAAGAAAGAATGCTTCACACAATACTCGTATCTCATCATCTGCGGCTGACCTCAGCAGCTCCTCAGAAGATGCCTCTGGAAAGCCATCGTCCTCAAGCAGTGAGCAAAGTAAGTTATGTTTACATTAAAGTCAATTTTCTGTTTTATTGTCCTTCAGTTTTGTTCCATAATTCTTGCCATGGCCCAACTAGATCAGTGAATGGTTCTCACAGGGCTGGAGTGGAGAGAAGGGCCGAGGAAAGACAACGACGCATTTTTTTTTTAAATTTTTTTTTTTATAAATGATATTTATTCCAAATTTAAAGTTACAAAAAAGAAAAAAGAAAAACCATACAAAATACAAAGAAAACTTTAGCCATAACAAAGCAAAAGATAAACGAGTAAAAAGAACAATAAGATAGAATAAAAAAGAAAACTTAACAAAAAATATAAAAATACATTGAGTTGAAATAAAACAAAAGCAGATTAAACCTTTACATAACCTTTTCCCTTTACTTATTTCCATGACCTCCTCTCACCTCCCAGTTTTGTATTCTAGTTCAAATCGTGTTTCCAGCAAATCCCTCTAACCTTATTTTCATTTACGTATTTTAAAATTAAAATCATGTAATTAAACCTCCTCTATTTCGTCAGTTTCATCAACTCATTTTTGCTTATTCCATTATGTCATATCTACCAAAACGACCTAATATTCTTTTTCCAACCTCCTTCTAACATTCTTTTATATTGCAATACTTTTGAAGATATATTTTAAATTTTTCCAATCTTCTTCCATCGACCCTTCTCCCTGGTCTCGAATTCTGCCGGTCATCTCAGCCAGTTCCATGTAGTCCATCACTTTCATCTGCCATTCTTCTCGGGTGGGCAATTCTTGTGTCTTCCAGTACTTCCCGATGAGTATTCTTGCTGCTGTTGTAGCATACATAAAGAAAGTTCTATCCTCCCTTCGCACCAATTGGCCGACCATGCCCAGAAGAAAGGCCTCTGGTTTCTTCAGAAAGGTATATTTAAATACCTTTTTCAGTTCATTATATATCATTTCCCAGAAAGCCTTAATCCTTGGGCATGTCCACCAAAGGTGAAAAAATGTACCCTCCGTCTCTTTACATTTCCAACATTTACTGTCTGGCAAATGATAAATTTTTGCTAGCTTGACTGGGGTTAAGTACCACCTGTAAATCATTTTCATTATATTTTCTCTTAAGGCATTACAAGCCGTAAATTTCATACCTGTGGTCCATAACTGTTCCCAGTCAGCAAACATAATGTTATGTCCAAAATCTTGTGCCCATTTGATCATAACAGATTTAACCGTTTCATCCTGTGTATTCCATTTCAACAGCAAGTTATACATTCTTGATAAATTCTTAGTTTTAGGATCTAACAATTCTGTTTCCAATTTTGATTTTTCCTCCTGGAAACCAATCTTCTTATCTAAATTATAAGCCTCCCTTATTTGATAGTAATGAAGCCAGTCTCGAACTTTAGTTTTCAATTTGTCAAAACTCTGCAGCTTTAGTCTATCTCCATCTTGTTCTAAAATTTCACAATATTTTGGCCAATTTTTCTCCATATTAGTTTTTTTCAGAGCCTTAGCCTCCATTGGTGACAGCCACCTTGGTGTTTTATTTTCCAACAAATCCTTATATCTCACCCAGACATTAAACAATGCTTTCCTGACAATATGGTTCTTAAAGGCCTTATGCGCTTTAACCTTGTCATACCATAAGTATGCATGCCATCCAAAGACATTGTTAAAACCTTCTAAGTCCAAAATGTCCGTGTTTTCAAGAAGCAGCCAATCTTTCAGCCAGCAAAATGCGGCTGATTCATAGTAAAGTTTAAGGTCTGGCAGGGCAAATCCACCTCTTTCTTTAGCATCAGTTAAAATCTTAAATTTTATTCTTGGCTTCTTGCCCTGCCAGACAAATCTCGAAATATCTCTCTGCCATTTCTTGAAACAGTCCATCTTGTCCAAAATCTGCAATGTTTGAAACAAAAACAACATCCTAGGCAATACATTCATCTTTATCGCAGCAATTCGGCCCAGCAATGATAACTTCAATTTTGACCATATTTCCAAATCCTTTTTCACTTCTATCCAACATTTTTCATAATTATCTTTAAATAAATTCACATTTTTAGCAGTCATGTGAACCCCTAGATATTTCACTTTCTTAACCAATGTTAAGAATTGGTTAACATTGGTTGACAATGACGCATTTCAAGGACCACCCCGTCCAGAACCCAGCACCAGCCTGTGTGGTGGGGCCAGCCTGGCATCACAACAGGTTTCCTGGAAGGGGCGGGGCTGAGGTTGGGCCTGCTTTCATGCAGAGCCAGTCCAGGGCTCCTGTCCGTGCACCTGCGTGCCCTGGCCTCACTGTGGCCTTGCCCTGTCCAGGGATCCGCAGCACCGCAAGTGCTCAGAGGGTGGCACCACCGCTGCGCCCAGACCCACAGACCAGGGCTGCCCAAACCCCATGCTCTCCCTTCAGTGACTGGGGTCAAGGTGACCACTCTACCTTGGGATTGCTAGTTTGAGGTGGGGGGCAACTTTGTAGTATCAGGGAAAACCCTCTTCTCCATGCATTGGTAGACTTCATTTAAAACTCTGGCGCCTTCTAACAGTAACAGCTTGGATATTAAGGAGGACATAAAAGTTCAGATTTAGCAGAACTTATAGATATGATTTCACACATAAAAACATAAAAAATGAGAGAGGGTCAAACTGAGAGATCAGTACTTTGACTGAGAGTCGGTAGGGCCACAAAAATGCTTCTTGAGTCCAGCTTGTGGGCCACCAGCTGCCTGTCCCAAGTCCTAACTAGTCATTTCGGGAGCCCCAGACTTCCTTTTCAGTCTCCTGGATCCTCACTTCTTAGCCCTGTTTCTTGGATGCTCCTTTCAGACCATAGTGGAAATAAGGTGGAGAACAAGGATCAGCAGCTGAAAATTTCTAATGTCTACATCAGACACCCTCACCCAACATTTTACAATTCTATTTTTGTTTTGTTTTGTTTCCTATCTTCATAAAAGATTTGAAAGCTATCCATATCACCTCTCCCCCCAAACTATTGTTATATTATTATATTATTTGGCTGAAAAAGTAACTTCATACTGTCCTGGAAAGCTGTGTGTTTGTGGAATCCCTGTCCAGATTGCCTGAAAGACAGAAGGTGATTAACTCTGGAGAAGCTGCCTAGAGGGTAGATTCGCCACTGAATCGCAACAGGGCATCTCCTCTATAAGATTGCTGCAGCTTGCTGCAATGAAATTACCTCAATCTGTAGAAGTCAGACTGAATTCCCCTGAGTAGTGTAGGCACTGGCCAAAGTGAACAGTTTTCGTCATGCCTTCTGACCTGTGAACTGTCCAGCAGCTGTTCTCTGCTTCCTTTAAGTCAGACGAGTCTTCCTGGCTGCTGCTCCCCATTTCTTTGACTATGTAAAGACATCACATTTTCCCAGTGATTTACCCCTGTCTGTTACAGTGGTGCCGGCCCCAATCCTCCTTCATTAGCAAAGGGAATTGGATGTTGAAACCTTAAAACACATTTGAGTTGCATGCATGAATTGAAACTGTGGGCAATGACAGTGCTCTCGTATTGCCTACATCACAGTGAAAATATGAGTTGCACACAGCTTTTGTTTCAATCTGTTATCCAGGTGGCAGCAAATCCTCCCACAGTGACACGGAGAGTCTGGGAGGGAGTACTGAGGGCCAGTCCTTAGAGTCACCTGCCTCCAGCCCAGGTGAGAGGAATGTATGAAATGTTGCAAAATAATAAACATCCATTAACACGAGGCCTTCAGGTTTTTCCACATAACTTTGTTTTTCAGCACATATAAATCTGCATGCTTGGTTATTTTTTTGCAATGTGCCTCTTCTATTAAGGGCAAACAAATCACTTAAAAATACCAGGTTTTAATTTGTTTTTCAAAAGCGGGCTTTGAATTTCAAATATGCCTTTTAAAAAACTGAATGGCAATTTAATTTGTGCTTCCTTTGCAATCCCTAAATTATCTTTTAAAAATTGAATTAATGCATTAATACATTCTGAATTGGAGGCCCCATGAATGGTCTGGGAGGAAGTGATGCCACAGATTCACTGCAGCTATGTAACTGTGGACCTGGATGGAAAACCACCAGGAGTCTGCAGGAAGAGTGTGTTGTAAATAAAATACCCATAATATTAAAACAAAATTCTGAATTGATACTCTAATTTCATGTCAGCAGTATCCATATCTAAAGGAAAAGATATTAAAGAGAGCACAGATCTGCAAATGTTGCCTGCAGAGACTGATGTACAAGCCTGCAGCATGCAGGCACTGGGAACCCATTCTTAGTGTGGCCCCATGTCCTGCTTTACAGAGGGCAATTTGAAGGTCTATGCAGCCCAAGTCCAACTGACAAATAAAGATCCATAAGAAGGGAAAGCAGAGGCACTGAGTCTATTTATATTATAGCAATTATTTCTAAATTTGCGTCTATACGTATAAATTAGCATCTGCAAATTTTATGCATTTCCTTTGTCCTTTTGTTGGGGGGTGTGATGCATTTTCTGTTTTGGGGGTAGGCAATGCTTTAAGCACCCACACTCTCCATCCTTGAAACGTAAGCTATAAAAATATATGTTAAAAGAGCAGGCAGGAAAACATGAGTGGTATTTAGCTTCATTTTACTCAGAGTAATTAATGGCCTCAGATTAGTCATGTTCATTAGTTTCAGTGAATCTACTATGATTAAAGCTTAGCTGAATACCACCCCACGTCACAATTGATGTCTATACAGAATTGCATATCTTCTGTGTTCTGAACTTAGACAGTGCCAGAAACTTGGGGTGGAGTTCAGTGTCATCTCTTGCAAACAATGCCTCCCTGCAAGCTTGCCAGATAAAGCTATCTCCGCTCCTCCATGCACTGTTTTGGGGGTTTTCCTGACACCCCAGCTGGGACCCAACTTTGGGGGTGGGGTGCGGGGGAGGAAGCGGAAAGCCCCTCTGCGGAGACCCTGACTCAGGGCTTCCTCTGACAGGGCTCCTTAGGTAAATCTCACCCATGGAATTCCCACTTGTCTATTTCATCATCATCTTACATAAGTTCTACAGTGTGATTTTCTGTTTAAAACATTCCTTAAGTTGCAAACAATAAAAGCTTAAATACTAGGTTATTTGTGTAAATTTGCTTTAATTGATGTTAGTGGCTTTGGACTTCTTTAGTATGGAGAGGGAAATCCAGGTATAAACTTTAATGTAAATAAACAAATCTGGACCAATAAAAGTTTCTGAACTTTCTTCAAGGGTAGCCATACAGTGCATTGCAGTGGTCCCGTTGAGAGTTTGCCAGGGTATGCTTGGTAGTGTCAACATCACTCTTTCTCTCTAAGAAATACGGTCATGCCTCAGGTTACAGATGCTTCAGGTTGCGTTTTTTTGGGTTATGGACCCGCCAAAACCCGGAAGTACTGGAATGGGTTACTTCCGGGTTGTGGCAGCTGCACATGCGCAGAAGCGCCAAATCACAACCCGCACATGCGCAGACGCGCCGCTGCAGGTTGTGAGCGTGCATCCCGCACAGATCACATTCGCAACCCGAGCGCCCACTGTATGTTGAAGCTGATAAGAAAGCTCTCCTGGTTGTATCCAGGAGAAAGCCTGTACCCAGGAACTGTAATGGATGGGCATTTTCGTTGGGTGGGATGTACAAGGGCTTTTGCTTGTCCAACTGGCCTTCCCTCCGCTCTCCTCACTCCATGTGCCCCCCCCTGCAATTCACTCTGGGAGAGCAGGAGAACCCCAGAACAGAAGAGGGATGTTTGTACAGACAGAACATCTGTAATAACTCAATGCTGAATTCTGCCAATTAACTTTTCCAGTTCTAGAGCCAGTTGCCATGAGCATCTCTATATTTACCTTGAGATAAGTAGCTGGAGCATTAGGGAAAAAAACACTTCAAATTGTTAATATTGCAGTGAAACAAAGATGGTCTAAATTTTCAACAAGGCTGTCTATAGGTTAAACTGAATCCAGTTCCTAAAACTGTAGAGCACTCTTTCCTTTTCATAGCAGGAATTTCTTTTTTCACAGAAGAAGCATCCTAAGCAGAATCCTGTGTGACTTTGAATTTAACTGGTTTCTGGCTCTTAAGTGGCTTCCTTTTCTGTTTTTAATCTGTTCTTCATGTCTAGGCCACAAGAAGTTGTTCAAAGCTCCATCCACAGGCACTGTGTCCTCCTCTGAGGACTGTGAAGGCAAAGATTTAATGCAAGCCAATGACCATGGTGAGAAACAAGCCACAGACTGGGGAAATGAACGAGGGAGGGAGGGAAGAGTCCTATAACTGCAAATGCTAGACAAATGGCAGATCATGAGGTTAATCAGTTCTGGGCATGTACAGCTTTAGACTGCAGGTGAAGACTGCATGTTGAATGTTCCCACATAAAAGCAAAAATGCCTCCCAGGAGAAAACCTACATTTTGGGAAAAATGAAGGGCTCGTGTCCTTTTTCTGATGTATATTTTTCTACGGAAAGGTAATATGTTTCATACAGGGGAGGGGGAAATTTGATCATGTAATGGTACTGTTCAGGAACGATTTTACCACGTGATCTCCTCTGCCATGCCAGAATTAAAGGGGCTTTATGGATGCTGGTCACAATAGTCACATGCCTGTGTGGACTCAATATCTGAAGAGGATTGGAGGGACAAATTGCAAGGTAGTAATGTCTCTTGGCCTAATCACAATGAAATCAACAGCAAAAAAGCAGAATGGAAAGTCAACCCACAAGAAATTTAACCACATTTGAATCACTTTCTTGACATGAGGCAAGTGGAAATGTGAGTGAACCCGCCGTGTGAGGGCCAGCCCAGGGTGGTGCTGCATTTCCATGTATCTGGTTAAGAAGGGGCGAGGTTCCTGCTTTACCTTCTCCAGCTTTCCCAGCCCCCTGGCACTTGAAAGCCTTTTGAGCCTGAGTTTGAAGGAACCTTTCTTTGTGTATTCTAGTCCTTCCCACGCTCTGCTATCTGTTCTCTGTGTAGAAGGTGCATGTTTAACTATTAATCTAGAAGCCATGTCTGCAGTCTAACAGAGGACAATAGTCACATGCCTGACCCTCTTTTCAGATCTCACTGATGCTGCCTCTGAAAATGGCTTGTCCCATTACCACTTTAAGAACATCAACCTGTCCAGTGCTGCTCAGACCCACCATCTGCGGAAGCTGAGGGGCCCTTCAAAATGCAGAGAATGTGAGAACGTAGTGGTCAAAGGCGTAGAATGTGAAGAGGTCAGTGAGCATTAAAGGGAACTGCTTTGCTGCAACAAGAGGTTCAGATCTCAGGCAGGCTGGCACTTGGGCGCTGGAAAGGGAGAGGCACACAAATTGGCCCCAGCTTACAGCATAAAGCCCTGAGGCAGATTCTTAGACTTTTAAGTCTGGAAATAATTAGGATTTTGGTTGCGATCGTATGTATACAAGGGGAGAGGAAGTGGGGTGCGGGGGCTTTCGTCCACCCCGGGTGTCACCACTGAGGTGGGTGACAAAATGCCAGGCAGCACTCACCGCGGGGCCTGCAGGGCGCCCGAGCCATGTGTCTTTCCTGAGAGAGACGGGCTTGAGCGCCCGCAGGCTCCACACTGCCCAAAAGGTCCACCCGCTGCCCCCCCCCAGCTGCAGGGCGGCTGAGTGGGAGGAGGCAGGCAGACTCCAGAGGCCCCACAGTGCGCCCTGCCCTTGCCTCGCCCTTGGGCACGCCACCCCAGGCGCCCAAGCGGCTTCTTCCGCCACTGTATGTATACTTAGCACTACTTCTGTGTGAACATAAATAGGATGCTGCTGTAAATCTACTAATCTAGTTCCGTATTTTGCCCTGAGACAGACTGTCCTGAACATTTGCCATATCCTCACACACTCAACTTGTGTGAAGTTAACTCCACTTGATGAATGTTTTTCAATGAGATTTGATTGCAAATGTGAATGAGACATGTAAAAGAAGATGGAGTTTGTGCTCTGACTCCCTCTGTGTCTGGATGTGGAACCTGGAAAAGAGAATGAAGCACAAATGGAAATGCTTTTCCTCTGCTGTTGGTGCATTACACCTGCCTCAGAGTACTGAGATGTGAGAAATTAGCAAGGGGTCCCTTTGGGGCTAGGAAAGAGTTCAGCCAGAGTAACACGGGATCTTTGGGCCATTTGCAGTGCTACCTGACCTGTCACAAGAAATGCCTGGAGAGCCTCCTCATCAGCTGTGGTCACCAGAAACTGCCGGCACGGGCATCGCTCTTTGGGATCGACTTCCTTCAAGTGTCACGGGATTTCCCAGAAGAAGTGCCGTTCATTGTGGCAAAGTGTACCTTGGAAATAGAAAGGCGTGCCCTGGGAGTGCAGGTAACTTGTCCCTGCATGCAGAAATCCATCAGTGCTCAAACTCCATACCTCTCAGAACCCAGAGTGAGCAGCAAAACACAGAGACATAAACATATGTCTGCTGCCCAAACACAAAGGCTGAATTAATTGAGTAACTATTAGACTATGATTGGCTCATTTGTATTCCTCAGTTCTGTGCAAGTGCAGCAAACCAGAGCAAAAAAAATTCTAGACATTAATCCTAAAGAAATGTGTGAGTCATGCCTGGTGAAATCCCACAAATAAGCAGGGACCAGAACAGGATTTCTGGTGAAGAATTGAGCTTTTCTGCTGGTGCAGAATTTTATATCCGCCATTCTCCTATCACAGTAAGAAGGAGATAGTGGTGGGAGTTCCCAGTTATTGGGAATTTTTAAGGTGATGAACAGCCTCACCTCTAATGAGGAGCAGACTGTGCTGTGGCAGGATCTAGGTGCTTACCTATGAAGAAAAGACAGGTTGTCTGCTTCTTTGCGTGTCTGTATTGCAGCAGTTCAGGGAAGGTGCAGAAAGTGGAGGGTGGAAACAGCAGAGAGTTGTGAGGCATCCCTAGACTCTTTCTTTCACTCTGCGCGGTAGCCCTAACTTCCTGGTGAGCTAAGGCGTCTGCTTATGGCCTTCAAGAGCTGCCTCAGAGTTTCAGTCCATGTGGATTTCCCAGTTTCATGTGCTAGCAGTCCAGTCTCGTGCACACACACCTCCGCCTCCCTGCTGAGTCAGAGAGAAATCCCAGGTCCCTTTCCGACACATACATCATGTGTGGTGGCCTCAGGCCCAGTCTCTTTTTTGTCCTTGACGCAGGGCATTTACCGCATCAGTGGAGCCAAATCACGGGTGGAGAGGCTGTGTCAGGCCTTTGAGAGTGGCTGGAGGCTGGTGGAGCTCTCGGATCATTCACCCCATGACATCACTGGAGTCCTTAAACATTTCCTTAAGGAGGTAAGAAATGGAGGGGGAGACATCCTTAGAATTTCATTTCTCTAAACCTGAGAGTGGTTTCCCAAATTTTATGTCTTTAGCAGACTCTGGGAACTCATCAAGCTACACATCCCCAACCTTTTTCGGGTGTGTGTGCTATTTTATCTAAAGGTGGAAACAAATGTAATATAAAAAAATAAACATGCAACTGGGTTCAATCTGTTGGGAAATAACTGGTGAATACCAATTAATCCTGAAGTCCCAGATGTTTGTGGAACTACAAAGAAAAACAGCTGACTGCATTAATTCAGAAATAGGGTATGGGGCTTGACTTCAGCCAAAGCAGCCCCCAGCAGAGTTTAAAACACAGATCTAGACTGCGTTTACAAAGCATGGGAAATATAGGTTGTTAGACTTTTAAATGTCCCAATATGAGTGCTTACAGTTCTCCCCTGCCTCTGCCCCTCTTGAGCTTAATAGACCACAACTTTTAGTAAGTTTAAATGCTTTATTTCAGTCATCACAGGTCTCACTCATGCGTTGTTCAATACTACAGCAGAAACAACACAAGTAAGGTATTATTGCTTACAAAATACAGAAGTGATTCTCAAACATGTGGACTGAGTCTGAAGTCCCAGGCTCAGACATCTGCTCAACTTACATGGTTCAAAGGGAGAGGGGAAGGAATATGAAACCTTTAGTTCCTCCCTCCTTGGAGGAAAGGGGATGTGACATCACAGAGTCTACTCTAGTAATTTTGAACTCTGTAGTCCTTAACCCCTTCACATACTAACTAGCACAGGTATGCATTGTTAGGTTTGACTACAAAACTCCCACACACTCTACATTAAAGGTAAAGGGACCCCTGACCATTAGGTCCAGTTGTGGCCAACTCTGGGGTTGTGGCGCTCATCTCGCTTTATTGGCCGAGGGAGCCGGCGTACAGCTTCTGGGTCATGTGGCCAGCATGACTAAGCCGCTTCTGGCGAACCAGAGCAGCACACGGAAACGCCGTTTACCTTCCCGCCGAAGCGGTACCTATTTATCTACTTGCAGTTTGACGTGCTTTCGAACTGCTAGGTTGGCAGGAGCGGGGACCGAGCAACGGGAGCTCACCCCGTCGTGGGAATTCGAACTGCCGACCTTCTGATCGGCAAGTCCTAGACACTCTACATTAGTCTTGTTTATTGTGGCATTGCTGCTCCTTCTTGCTTGCTCATGAGTTGCACAGCACATGCCCCACTCTGTAGTTATTCTGCTCCTTCTGTTCCTTTATTCCCTGATATTTCTAACTAGTTTTATTATGTATTTTTATTTATTGCGTATGTGCACAGTAACCCTTAATTCAGGGGTCACCAGGATCCTCAGCTTTCACTGAAATTAGGCTTGAAAGAAGCATTCTGTTGTAGCCAGTAGAATAGGTTGTGGTGTGTGCTTAGTAGAAATGGGCAACATGGGCAATTTCGGTTTCACATTTTTCCAACATTCAGTTCTCCACAATTCCACATCTCTTTGCATTTTTTTTTTAATTTAGTCTTCATAAAAATCATAAGTGTTTTAGGGCAAACTTCTCATATGCATGTGCTTGTATACCATCTTACTTCTACTATGCACATTTCCCCCCAGAGCTGTGCTGTTTCCTGTAATATAATGCATTTTTGCATGTGATTTTCTCTAATATAGGCAGTTTTGTGCACATTTTTCTCAACTACATGTATTTTTGTGCACATTGCTGGGCTGGAGAACTGGGCTGCTAATTACAGAAAAGTGTGAATTTTGAAGCATGGCTCTGTTCCAGTACCTGCATTTTTTCACAGTGTGTGAATTAGGTATCTTCTTCTTTAAATGCAAACTGAATCAATTTCCCTTCCCATCTCTAGGGTTTGGTTGAAGTGTTTGTGCATGTGGGTGTGGGTTTATGGTGACCAAAACAATTTTCAAATGGCCCCCCAAAATGTCGGTGACCCCTGCCTGGAGTAGTTAGGGCATCCCATGACTGCCCATGGTTCTGTTGCATCTGCTCTGCTCTCTATTTTCCCTTGTTCTTTGTATTGTTGAAAGCAGCTGTAGGCTCTCCAGATGCTATGGTAGATCTGTGGCTGAGGGAGGAAGGCTCTTCTCCTGGGAGACCAGCATTTTTTACAAGATTGTGATGATCAATTAATTATTTTCTATCTCGCTCTTCCAAAGGAGCCCAGGACAGCAAACGATGACACAATAAAACAATACAATTAAAATAAAAGGAAGGTATATTTGAAAACAAGAGCTTTTACCTTTACCTTCTGCTGGAAGTGGTTCGCTCATTTCTCTGAAAACGTTTGCAATCGCATGTAAAGGGGGGGTTTTCTAAATCTTCTCCTCCCTTCTTCTTACAGCTTTCCAGTCCTGTGCTCCCGTACGAGCTATATGATGATTTCATGGCTCTCTCCAGGAGCGTGCAGAGAATGGAATACAGAACAGGGGCTGATGCCAAGACCTTGGCAGATCCCATCAAGAGTACAAAGGATTTACTGCGCAAACTGCTACCAACAAATTATAACACATTACGGCACCTCATTGCTCACCTCTACAGGTAACATGGAGACCAGCAGTGACTCCTGAGCTCTTTACTTGTAGGAATAAGGGCCGCTTTGGATGCTCTTTGCAGAGCTCTAAAGTGGGGTATAAATATCCTTAACTCTTAACAGTATCCAGTTTCAATACAGATCCATTGGTCCACACCTCTGTTTGCCCTGCCACTTTCCCCTGGGAAAACCTGCTGTTTCCTTCTGAAATGGACCAAATGGCAACTGGGTTTTCTGCAGATTGCCATTTGTTCCAATTCAGCAATAAAGAGTGTTTTGCAGGGGAAAGCTGCAGGGCAAACACAAAGCCACTCATACCTAGAAAGCCCAGGGCCCTATGAAGCAGTGTGCGCCCACCCACCCCAGGTCTCATTGGGGCTCCCTACGCCACTGCCTGTGTTTATCTGCATGATACTTGGGTGTCCTGCTTTCTCCCAAGGGCTCAGGCTACCAGTAGAACATATAAAACCAGGGGCAAAGCTAGACTTTATTTCACACAAGTCAGACCCAGTTTGACACCCCATGTGCATTTATGTTCACACACATGTAGACTGGGAGCCTCAATGGCGCCCCTCTGGAGGCTTCACCCAGGGCAAAAAACCTAGCTAGCCCCCACCCCCGAAGCTATAGTGCTGTATGAAATTCATGTTTTCCATCCCCAGATGCTTTTAAAATGGTATCTGATCAAGAATTCAAAAATTGAGAATAGCTTCCACAAGCCACAAAAACTTGTTTGCATCTTCCTTAAGGGCAGAGCTGCGCATTGATGCAAACATATGTCACACAACCTTAGTGGCATCTTCTTCTAGGGAAATGGTGGTCAACCTGAATCCAGTGATCCTTGAAGTTCCTCAGAAGCTTCCCCAGGGTTGCTCTATAAGAAGATCAGTCATGGAATAGGATTCAGACCACTTAGTCCATTCATGTGAGATCCAGTCAGCCCCAAACCTCATACAAAAACCTCTCCATCTTGCTAAAGTTCTGCAACTAATGATTTGGGCATTCTTATGCAGGGAGATTCACAGCTCAGTTGCAGAACCATGGGCATAGCCAAGGGGGGCTCAACAACTTTGACTGCCCCCACAACAAAAATCCTGGCTAGGCTCACGTGCAGAACGCATGTTTTGCAAACAGGAGGTGCCACATTCAATCCCCAGCATCTCTAGTTCAAACAATTGGGGAGCAGATGATGGAAAAGATCTCTGCCTGGAGCCCTGGAGAGCTGCTGCCAGTCAAAGTAGACAATATTAGGCTAGATGGACAAATAATCTGACTATGTATAAGGAAGATTCCCGTGTTTCTACAAAACAAGATTGTAAAGAGAAGAGGGTAACTCCAGAGTAAATCCTTGCAAGGTGAGGGGAACCTCAGGTGATAGGTTAGCACAACTACTTTTGCACCAATAGTATAAAGCTATAATGGTTATTCACGTTTTATGTAGGGTCTAGGCTCTTCCCTCAAGGTAGCACTCCTGAAGGGGTATTGTATTTTTCCAGTACTCAAGCAGCAATAGTATACTGCTGGGAAAATGTGATCCCTTCTCTGACATTATCAGCATTGCTGTACCATGTGGAATGCAGTTGCCTAAGTGTCACAGCCCCTATTGAATGGTACCAGTGATGAAGGACCCATCCCATGCACACCAACCATGGAGATGCTTCTCAGAATGAAGTGGAGAAGCCCTGAATCCACAAAGTCACAAAATGAAAATGACTACCTACCTTACTGAAAATGTAGCCTAAGCACCTCAGTGTCTCCCATTTCTGGAAAATGTTTAGGTTCAGACCTTTGATGATTCATTCTCTCTCCTCCCCCCCTCAAGAGTGGCTGAGAGATATGAGGATAACAAGATGTCTCCCAACAACCTGGGGATCATATTTGGGCCCACACTAATCCACCCTCCCTTGAGCAATGAAGTTTCCATGTCGTGCCTCGTGGACTCAGGGTACCAGTCCCAGCTGATTGAGTTTCTCATCCTCAACTACGAAAGGATTTTTGGGATGGATGACCTGCCTCCATCTGGGCTTTGTGAACGTGAAAACTCTTTGAAAGAAGCAATTACCAATGAAGCTCTTTCAAGCAGTGAAAGAGATGTTGATGCACCTTCTGAGGTAGGAGTGGGGGCGGTATTCCCAAGCACATGCTTTTTTATTTTTTATTTTTTGAGACATATCAAGCTGTTACTAGTCAAGGTTGATGGTACTAGGTAATGTGGACCATTTCTGATTTACTATAAGAGCTGAGCTGTGGAAGAATCACATGATAGTTTTGTTTTGGACTGAACCCCTTTTTGCTACAGGTAAAGGAATTGCATGTTTGAGTCACATATGCACGACCTTTTGCACATGAAAACCTAACATGTCAAGGGAAAAATTAGCCTAGAACTCTTCTTCTAAGCTTTATATATGCAAGCAGTGTTTTATGGGAGAAAATTCAAAATGCAGTCCCTGATCTGTAGTTACTGTAATCTGTAGTTACTGGGCATACAAGGATCCCTCATTTCTCATATTCTGTTGCCTCCATCTTTTCTTCTGAGCTTGTCAGTCTGCATGTGGTTGACCTCTGTGGTGCAAACTGCGATGGAGACACCAATGTTCTACATTTTACAAGGATCTCAATTTTAAAAAATAAATTGCCAAGCAGTGTATGGGGGTGGGGGGAGCGAAATTTTGCCAACATTTCAACTTTATCAGAATAGATCCATTTTTTGACATTTCAAAACCACATAATACGACAAATGGCAGTGACCAGTTTCAAATTCTGAAAACAAAATGTGAGCAAAATGGATGTTTCAACAGGGAACATTCTGAAACAAAAATATTTATAAAATAATGAAAATACCCCCCCACACACATTTTTTAAAAAATGTGGCACTTGAATTTAAAACTTTTAAATGAAATTCTGTAATTAAATGATTATATACACACACAGTAATGGGATTCTTTCCCTCTGACTCTGATTCTAACTTTTTGAAAGTCCTTTTGCAAGTTTGCTTTTCTTGCAGCAGCCACACCTTCATACAGGTGTGGCTATATGGGGAGCTCAATACACAGATTCACAAACATGGCTTTTCCTTCCAACAGAAGTCCTCCTCTAAGCCATATCTGGATGAAGACAATAGCACTGCTGTGGATTCTGCCAGGCAGAAGCAGTGTATGGAGCAAACCCACTTTCCTGAAAGTGGGGAAACCATAGGTAAAGTTCTTTCCTAGATCCTGATCAGGCATTTAAAGAATATTGGTTCCTATTTTGGGGAGAGAATATTGTATTCTTCAGGTTCAACAGTGCCCCACTCTTCCTCCAAACCATTAAGATCCACAATGTCTCCCTCATAACTTCCAGACACCCTGTCTCTCTAGATAATGTTTCTATATCAACATTTTGAGAAGCCACTGCATTCTAAATTTTGCCTGCTCTAGTATTAGAATGGCCAAACCCAAATGATATATCTCGATATAATAAGAAAGGTATGACCCCCCATAGGAGGATTTGGTTGACCTCTGTGGTGCAAACTGCGATGGAGACACCAATGTTCTACATTTTACAAGGATCATTTTACAAGGATACATTTTACACATCACTCCTGGTTTGGCGTGAAGTCATGGTGCTGTGGGGGTGCAAAAGTGAAGGCAGGTTGCGCAACAGCAGCGGTCATGGCATAGGAGTGGGAAGGGAGAGACAGTGAGAGGGGGAAAGTGGTTAAAGAAATGGCAGACATTTGAGTAAAGCAGAGATAGAGAGAACTGAAAGAAAAATGGTGATTTTAAACCACAGCAGAGGTTTGACTAAAGGACCTTCATCGTCAAAACATTGTATGAAAGTACTATGGAGTATTTTAGAGCATTGCATATTTTATATCTCTCACATGAGGCAGCTAAGGAATTGGAAAGGGAGAAGTTTGAGTACTGGAGATACAGGGAGATACACCGAAAGCAGGGGGAAGGGACTGTTCTAAACAAGGACAGAAGTTTTGAGTAAAGGGAGATAAAGAGACACTGAGAGGAAAATTGCAGTTTTAAACAATGGCAGAGAAATGAGTGAAACAGGACTGTAAAGTCAAACAGAGAGGAAAAAAGTGGTTGTTTTAAACAATGGCAGAGGTTTCAATAAAGCAGGGATGGAGGAACACTGGTGATTTTAAATAATGGCAGAGGTTTGAATAGAGCAGGCACAAGTGACACGGGGGGGATGGCAGTTTAAAACAAGGTTTGAGTACAGCAAGAAGGAAGTTTAGAAAGGCTCTGTTGTGTTAGCTTCTGTGTTGCATCCATCTCTGCTATTTTTCCATCATAAAACTAGATTTTATTTTGTTTTTTTAAAAAAACAACAACTCCTTGTCCCATCATTCCTGCTTTATTTAAATCTCTGCCATGGATTAAAACCACCATTTTCCTCCCAGTGTCTCTCCACCTCAACTCCAGTGCTTGGGGAAGCCCAACAAAGGAAGTGATCAAAGAGGAGCTTTCCTTGTCATTAACTTTTAATAAGCATTGCTTTGGGACATCTTTCAAGTTAAGATTTGTTGCTTCCTGGGGTGATACATTCAATAGGTTGTCTGCTTCCCTAATTCTCCATAATGTCTCTTCTCCTCACTCAGAGTTGAACAGCAGTGATGGCACCAAACAGAATGACGCTATACTTGACCCTGAAGCTGCCAATGTCAGCCCACAGAACAGGGGGCGCTTCAGCCGGATGCCTGTGAAGCACCCTCGCACTGTCACCCCCAAAGTGTCCAGTCTGCCCCTGCTGGCTGCTACCATGGCTGGCTCAGAGGCAGGAGGCCGTCTCCTGGAGCAAGGTACAAACAGCCGCAGCAACTCGCCAGACACTCGAGGGCAGCGCAAGCACTTTGAGATCACTCCGGAGACTGCCAGGATTGTCTCCAAGTTCCAGACTCAGAATGGGAGCCAAGACTGCTGTCCTGCAGGGCTGGAAAACCCACTGGAGGGAGAGCCTGTGGATGCAATGGGAGGAAGCAGGACTGAATCTTGAGCCTTAAATGTTTTTGTTTTAATTTTTTAGGAAGCAAACCAGACAAAGGGCTTGAATTCCAGTTCCAGGAACAATTTGGAATAACTAGACCCTAACTTTGCAAAAGCAGGAAAAACTGCTGTTCACCTAAGAGTACACTTGAGAACTGGGGAAGAAACAGCCCTGGGTGTATCTCACAGAAACCTAGGAGGGATGATGCCCCCTCCAGATTTAACTGTTGCATTTCTTGCTTTGCAATGCCTTTGCAATGGAGGCAACAAGCCAGTGCGGAGCTGCTGGGTTGCTGTAAGCTACAAAGCCATTGGTGCAGTCTCTCGAAATGGGGCTGATGCTGAAGGGCGACTTCCAGGGGGCAGCCAGGAGCATTTGGTGGGAGGAAGAGTCAAGGGCAGAGCCTAAGGCATAGCAGGATGTTGCTTGAGGTCCCAGGGGAGTCGTTTGTCAGCATGGGGTGGCTGTTTTTCCAGGGGTCGTGCTGGGGATAAAACACATTTGGGATGTTTGGGGGCAGGGCATGACTGTTCAAGTAAAATCCAGGGTGGTTCAGGGGTGGTTTTTCCACCTGGGCTGGGTATGGTTTGAAAAGGTGATGACATTACGCTGAGACTACAGGATGGGGGGCTCAACTGCCACGTGCAGGGCTATATTCGGCAGGTTTAAAGATACCAAAATATTGAGAAAGGTGAGTTCCGTGACCTATATAAATTTTGCAAATTAAGCAAAGTTTCATAACTTCTCTTACTTTGCATACTTCTATTATTTTTATTTCTTACTTTAGTGCATTATTCTACTGCTGCTGTTCATACCGAGGGGGCAGTGGAGCCCCACTGCCTGAGCTTTGAAAATCTTGTAACAGCCACCTCTCTTGCTTCTGAGCTTTCAGGGGGTATTGCCCAAAAAATTCAAACACATCTTTGCAGTCTTCAGAGCTACAAACTGTTTTTGTTCTGTTTTTTTTTTTTGTTTTTTTTTTTTTACAAAAGAGAACAGATTCTCAGGAAGCAAAGCTTTGCAGTGTCATTTCTGTGCCTTTTCTTCTGTGCCTGCCTAGAATTGCAGTGTTTGGGGCAAAGGTAAGTTGTAATGCTATAAGTGAGGAGGGAAGCGTTACTGGCAGAGGGCACATGGAGGCAGGACAGCTACTGTCCTTGGGAGGTTGCCTGCTGCAGAGGTGGGTGGAGAGGGGAGAAGGTGCTGCTAGGATGTTTCAGCATCAGCCTAATCGCGCTCATCTATATTTAGGTTCTCTGTGCAGCTTTGGCTGCTTCATAGATGATGGAATTCCTTAGTTCAGTTCCTTGCAGGAGGTTGCATGTACTGCATGTTTCTGCCATCCATGGAGTAGGAGACAACAAGGCGACTGCGACTCCTCCCACCATTTCTTCCCCAGTTCTGTCCTCCATGCTTAGGGCTCAGACACACTTACCTTTAGCTCCTCTCTTTCCAGGCACAAGTCCATGCTTAAAAGCTCCATGTCCCAGCATGGTGGTTCTCTCTCTCTCTCCCCCCTCCCAGCTTTGCCTGCAAAAAACCACTCTTTCACGCTCAGTTGAAGTAAACATCAAGTCAGGTTTTCTGTGAATTTCCATTTGCTCTGATTGAACTTTAAAGAGTGGGTTTTGGTGGGCAGAGCTCCAGACCAAAAAGAAAAAAGACCACTCGGACATAGAGCTTTAAAGTGTGGACAGTGCCTGGAAAGAGCAAAGGAAAGGGAAGTGTAGTAAGCCCTCCTCCTTGCCTGCTTTGAGTCCTCTCACTACAGCAGGTGAAGAAGAAGAAGAGGAAGAGTTTGGATTTGATATCCCGCCTTTCACTCCCTTTAAGGAGTCTCAAAACGGCTAACATTCTCCTTTCCCTTCCTCCCCCACAACAAACACTGTGAGGTGAGTGGGGCTGAGAGACTTCAGAGAAGTGTGACTGGCCCAAGGTCACCCAGCAGCTGCAGGTGGAGGAGCGGAGACGCGAACCCGGTTCCCCAGATTACGAGACTACCGCTCTTAACCACTACACCACACTGGCTCTCTGTGTGACCTCTGTGGATGGCAGAAGTGGGCAGTGAAGGAGTGGGCAGATCCATGTCTGCCTTGTCCCCCAGGTCAAAAGGTAAAGTAAAGGTTCAAGCCTTGGTTGCAGGCTGGCAAGCTACTTCATGTGAAGGGGAACCTGCTACCAGTTGGGACTTCCAGCCCTGTACGCATGCCCTGAAGTACATGCCTTTGTATGCGCCTGCTAGCTACATGCCATTTCTGACACAGAATGTAATGCTAGCAGAATGGGAAATTTGCCACAAGTGAAGCAATTGTCACTAGTGTTGCCAGAGAGCACCTGAGGCGACTCCCGGCTGGATGCTAGGTTCCTCGGTCAGAGCGGAGAAGAAACCAGGTGTAATGCACTGCAAAGTGGGCTATTAAGCCTTTGGTCAGTTTATTGGTCTACCAAAGTTTGAGAAAGTGTGCATGGTTTTTTTATAACTTTACACTGAGGAGAAAAAATTAAGTCTTCTTCTTTCCCAAACATCCAAGTCCCATGGGGTCAGTGTCACAGATGCATCACACCTCCAGGCGGAGAAGCTACATTCTGGAGTTGGGGCTAGAAACAGGTTTTTCCTGTGACCCATTAAGGCAACAATACAGCACCCAGAGGTCCCCATTATGCAAAAGCCCCTGGATAAGAGTGGTAATCGTTAAACAATTGCCAGAGCCCTTAAAGGTGGGATTTCCCCTGGAGAGTCTGCCTGCGTGACTTTAGGGATTATGGATGGCATTAGGATTCCCACGATGCAAGGCGTAACACACTTGGTCTACAGTTTAGGAACAACATCATACCTTTACAAGCGATTTTACACAAGGTTACAGGAAGAAAAATAATTTCTCGAAGAGAGATGCGACATTTTCTTAGCTGAGCAGTTCCTAGTGAAAGCTCTGGTTTCGAGAGTTCGCTACTTTGTCGCTCTTAGTCTTGCAGAACGTTCCATAGCTGCAGTACCAGGAAGCCAGCCACTAGGGGCGCTGTGGAGCAAGGATGTTGAAGTGGGACAGCTGATCCCTTTCAATCTTGCCAGGCGCCGAGATGAAAAGGGGGCAGGCAGATGCCTTTATGTATTTGAAACCGGCAGCAATGAACGAAAGAAGGGGGCAGGGAGAGGAAAAGAGACAGGACGGATCTTTCTCAAGGCGTAATCGTGTAGCCGCAGGTGGTGGTAACTGGGAATAGAAACGGGTCACTGGATTCTGGTAACAGGAGGCAGGAGAAGAAAGGAGGTGGCTTGTGAGTAGCTCACAAAGTGGCAGGAAGCAACCTTGGGCTGAAGTCATGCCGGTCTCAAGGCAGATCTCAAAACAGCCATTTCTACCCCACCCCACCCCACCCCCGTCCTGCATCTTCAGTCTAAATCCACATGCAGTCAGGGTGCAATGGTGCCACAGCCAGCTACACATCTACGCATAGCTAGCGTTACGCATATTTATCAATTAATGCAAGCATCATTGTCTTCTCTGGAGATCACTTGTAGACGACTAAGATGGTCTTCCGTGAACACGGTTTTAACAGTGAGTCCGTAAGTGACTGTGGAGGCCAGTTCTGGATCCACACGTCCTTCCACAGTGGAGACACAGGTTTCCAGGCGGGAGTTGATCAGGATGAGGATTTGCCAAGAGTGCCTTCCTCTTAACACATTTCTCCCTTTTGCCCTGAGTTCACGCTTCTTCAAAGCCCATGACACATTCGGTAAAGGCTCACAGGCCAGCGTTGCCCAGTTATCAGTGCTTATGTTACATTCTTTTAGATTTGCCTTGAGAGCATCTTTAAACCTCTTTTGTTGTCCATCGGTATTTCGCTTTCCATTCTTGAGTTTGGAATAGAGTCGTTGCTTTGGAAGACGATAGTGAGGCATCCAAACAACATGACCAGTCCAATGAAGTTGATGTTGAAGAATCATTGCTTCAGCACTGCTGATCTTAGTTCGCCTGTCTTTCCAAGTGATGTGTAAAAACTTTTGGAGACACCATTGATGAAATCTTTCAAGGAGTCAGAGATGGCATTTATAAGTGGTCCATGTTTGACAAGCATACAGTAAGCTTGGTAGTACGATAGCTTTGGTTTCCCTGCAAATGTCCCACTGCTCAAATGCTCTGCACTTCAATCAGCAGATAGCTGCGCTCACAGAGCTCAGGCGATGCTGGATTTCAGCATCAATGTCAGCCCTTGTGGAAGGATAACTGCCCAGGTAGGAGAAGTGATTGACACTTTCCAAAGTTACACCATTGAGTTGGATTTGTGGTGTTGCAGAGGGGTTGTTTTGTGCTTGTTGGTGCAGCACTTTGGTTTTTTGGATGTTGAGCAACAGGCCAAGCTTTTTGTAAGCTTCTGCGAAGATATTTAGGATGGTTTGGAGGTCATCCTCTGAGTGTGCACACACTATGTTGTCATCAGCATATTGAAGCTCTATGACAGAAGTTACAGTAACTTTACTCTTTGCTTTCAGCCTACTCAGATTAAAGAACTTTCCATCTGTTTGATATATGATTTCTACCCTGGTGGGAAGTTTCCCTTCGACAATGTGTAGGATCATGGCAATGAAGGGCGATAACACATCCCTGTTTAATGCCCAATTCCACTGTGAATGGTTCACTTTGAGAGCAAGTGTTATCCGCAATAGTTGCTGTCATATTATCATGGAGGAGCCAAAGGGTGTTCACAAATATATCTGGGCAGTCGATTTTCAGAAGAACAGTCCACAGGGCATTACGATTTACAGTGTTGAAGGCCTTAGTAAGGTCAATAAACGCCATATACAGGGGTTGGTTTTGCTAGCTGCATTTTTCTTGAAGCTGTCGAGCAGTGAAAATCATGTCCACTGCCCCCTAGAACAGGCATCCCCAACCTTTGGCCCTCCAGATTTTTGGACTACCAATCACCACTGGTCCTGTTAGCTAGGGATCATGGGAGTTGTAGGCCAAAACATCTGGAGGGGCGCAGGTTGGGGATGCCTGCCCTAGAAGGTCTAAAACCATTTTGGGATTTAGGAAAGGTCGCCTCAGATATTGTTAAGAGACAGTTTGCTAAGATCCTTGCAAGAGGTTTGCAGGCTGCAGCTAATAAAGAGATGTCTCAATAATTTCTGCAGTTCTATCACCTTTTTTTAAAAAAGATTGATAACTCTGGCATCCATAAAGTCTGCCGGAATCTCCTCTCCCAGATTTTTTTGATGAGCTTGTGAAGTGGTTGTGTAAATTCAATCCGGCCCACTTTGAAAACTTTGGCAGGTATCCCATCAGGTCCACTGGCTTTGTTGTTTTTCATTTCGTTAATAGCTGTACATAGCTCTCCCAGATTTGGAGATATTGCAGGGCCATCTATCATTTGTTTTTGCGGGATTTGTGAGAGGACCTCAACAGCTACAGGGGAGTTGCGATTAAGGAGATGATGATTGATTGAATTTATATACCACCCTATACCCGGAGGTCTCAGGGCAGTTCACAGAATAAAATCTAAATATAAAACCACAAAATACATAATCAAAATAAAAACAACAACCCAATAACCCTCCCCCCCAAAATGAACTTCCCTGGGGAGAGCATTCCACAGATGGGGAGCCACTGCAGAGAAGGTCCATTCTCGTGTTGCCACCCTCCGTACCTGTCTTGGAGGAGGCACATGACAAAAGGCCTCAGAAGATGATCTCAGGGTCCAAGTAGGTTCATATGGAAAGAGGCAATCCTTGAGAATCATAGAATCATAGAGTTGGAAGAGACCACAAGGGCCATCGAGTCCAACCCCCTGCCAAGCAGGAAACACCATCAGAGCACTCCTGACATATGGTTGTCAAGCCTCTGCTTAAAAGACCTCCAAAGAAGGAGACTCCACCACACTCCTTGGCAGCAAATTCCACTGTTGAACAGCTCTTACTGTCAGGAAGTTCTTCCTAATGTTTAGGTGGAATCTTCTTTCTTGTAGTTTGGATCCATTGCTCCGTGTCCGCTTCTCTGGAGCAGCAGAAAACAA